TGACCAGGACTCTCAGCTAGTACCCAAATTTAAGGTTTCTCCTCACATAAAAAGATCACAAGATTTCCCTGCCATAGGCCCCTCAGCTGTCACCAAGTACCTCTGAAAATGAAATTGCACAGCTGTTAACTCTCCTATTGAGCTAAAGATAACTATCATTTAAGGAAGAAATCATGCCAATTTTAGAGAAACTTTCAGAAAGTAGGGCATGGTGGAACACATTTCAGCTCATTTCATGAGTAGAGCTTAATCCTGAAGATAAAACCTGACAAAGCTATCCCCCCAAAAAATAATATTTTATGAGAATAGGAAAATAAGGAAACTCCCTCAGTTTGAGGCAGCTATGAAAAACATGCAGCTAAAATCATACTTAATGGTGAGATACTGAATGCAGCTGAACTATTGAATGCCTCCCCTCTAAGGCAAGGATGTCCAGTCCTGGCACTTATAAACAAAATTGTGCTATAGATCCCAGCAATGATGTAAGAAAAAAAATAAAAGGCTTTAAAAGTAAAACAGATTATGACACTGTTTTGTAGGAAATTCTAAGAAATGTACAAAATATTTACTAAAATTAATAATTCCACATGGTCACAGGATACAAGATTAGTATACAAAACTTCACACTATTTTTACACACTAGCAATATAAAATATAATTTTCAAAATTTCATCTGTAATACCCTTAAATATTGAATACTTAAGATTAAATTTATCTAAATTTGTGTATTACCTATACAGCCAAAACTATAAGATAGTAGTGAGAAAATTGAGGAAGACATCAATAAATGGAGCTATAGACAATGTTCACTGGAATACTCAATGCAGTTAAAATATCAATTATGCTCAATTTTATCAATGCAGTAACAAGCCCAATCCCAGCATGCTTTGTTGAAGAAATTGACCAACCAATTCTAAAATTTGGGTGGATGTAAAATATTAAATGGGCGAGGCTGTGTAGCAAATGGAAATTTCCTGGTGAGAATGAAAAATTTGTACAACCAATCTGGAAAGCTATTTTTACTGAACACGTACTTATCATAGGACTCAGCAATTACACTCATATGCATATATCCAAATTAAGTGAAAAGATATGTCCAAAGGAAAAAGAAGAAAAAAAACTTGTACAAAAGTGTTCATAGCACCTTCATTCATAATAACCCAAAACTAGAAAGAATCACATGTCCATGAAGAGGATGATAGATAAACAGCTTGTGGTATATTTATTCAATGAATACTACAGCAATAAAAGAAAAAAAATACTGCTGTATCAAAGAAAATAGACAAATTTAAACTGTAACGTGTTGAATGGAAAAAAGATACAAAATAGTTCATATTATATGACTCCATTTATGTGAAACTCAAGAACAGGCAAAATTAATCAAGGGTGATAGAAATCAAAACAATGTTTGCTATTGAAGTGGAGGGCTGACTTTAAAGGGGCCTGAGGAAACTTTCTGGCTTCATGCAAATGTTTGTATTTTGGTTTAAGTATTGGTCAAAATTTATTAAAATGTACTCTTAAGATCCTTCTGTTTACTATGTAACTTATACCTTGATTAAAAAAAAAAAAGTGTTTACACTAAGTTAAAGCATAATTTGCCTAACGCGTTATTTCTCAGAAACTTGAGAGAACTTTTTGTAAGGCTATGTTTCAAAATCTACTGTTTGCAAAGCTCTGATTGGGGTTTGGGCTTAATATTATGTCTTAAACCTGTGGCTTTCAATCCTCCAGTCACACATAGTGCCTTTGAAAAATAGATACAATTTTCAATAACATTATTGAAACTTCTCAGAGTTTAGGCAGACAGAAGTACATTTCTAGCCACTGTGCCAATAGTGGGAGCCTCACTGGAGAGTAATTATAGAGAAAACACTTTTTTCCATACTTTTCAAGAGGCCCACAAATATCTTGTATATTGTAGTGGGGGCTGTAGTTAACTATCCCATCAAACTGAAGTATGAGCCATTTAAAGCAAAACTGGCAAAAGTCAATTTTTCGTTGTGAGAGATTAACAGAATTTTACATTGATTGCTGAAACATCTGAGTTCACTGACTCATTTTCTTTGTGGTTGCAGAATATGTGGAATACTCTTTTTGTAGAAAATGTGGTAAGTAATAAAAATCTTGGTACCTCGCATCCACTAAAAATTTTATAATCCAGTTCATCCCATTCTACTAAAACGGCACACGCCAATCTGGCATTCAATCACTAATACTACAGTAGCATTTAAAAAGAAGTTACATCATGGACAGCTAAGACATATACACACACACATACACACACACATATATACATGTATGTTGTTTGGTGCCACTGCATCGGTTCCGACTTAATACTGACCCTACAGGACAGAGTAGAACTGTCCCATAGGATTTCCAAGGAGCAGCTGGTCGATTTGAACTGCCAACCTTCTGGTTAGCAGCCAAGCTGTTAACCACTATGCCACCAGGGCTCCATATATATAAAAAACTCACATATCCTGTTCAAATATGTGAGTAAGCAGAAGAGGGGGCACCCATAGATTATCAGTGTTTAGGGCCCTCACATGCTTTAATCTGGCTCTGGTTGTGCCTGATAACTCCTTCCACTTATAGATGCTCTTCTCAGTTTTACTATACTATGTCCAGTTATTGGTAAACATTTTAACTTCAGTTTCCCAAGAGGTTGAATTTTTATGGAAATGACTACCAAGTGCTCTGAAATAAAGTCTGGATCCATTTTGATTAGCTACTCCCAAAGTAAGAAATCTTCTTAAACTAGAAATTTATCATCAATTAATCTTATTCTTTTTTTATTCTTTCCTAGCTTGGGATATACTTTAGCAGCATGTTTCATATGCTTTCTCGACAATTTATTAAATAATCACGTTACTAAAGAGCTCAACATTGGAACCTTATGAACTATTTTTTTTTTTTTACTAATGGACAATTTGAAATTTCACTAATAGAAGTCATTATTTTGTAGAGAATAATCTGCACCTTTTATATCATAATAAATTTATTTGTGGGTTCCAGACTGTCATAGCACAGGAGTCAACAAACTATAGCCCAGAGACCAAATCTGGCCTGCACTGCCTGTTTTTGTCCAGCCCGCAAACTAAGAATGGCTTTTACATTTTTAAATACTTGGAAAAAATCAAAAGAGTAATCTTCTGTGACATGCCAAAATTACATGAAATTCAAATTTCTGTGTCCATAAATAATGTTTCATTGGAACATACCTACATTCATTTATGTATTTTCTGTGGCTACTTTCATGTTACAATACTTATAGTTTTCACAGAGAAAATACGCCCCACATGCTTAAAATATTTAGTATTTGGCCCTTTACATAAAAATGTTTGCCAACCCTTGTTTTAGTACACCAGTATAGACATAATCAATAACCTGAGAAATCATTTCAGTGCTTTATCAATTTAAATAGCATTTTTCAGGACCAACAGCTAGAAGACTCATGTGACTTCTAAAGATTTCACCTGCCACAGATTTTTGTTAGGTAATATGCAATATTTTTTTTCTGTCCAGTGTTTGATAAGTTTTTAGCATCTTTGCCTTAGTTTAGCCATAACCAAGGTCAATGTTTCATCTTACCTGTGGTATCTAACACAGAACCTGTTCTAGATGAAGGTGTTTCCTGAGACTTAAATCAATAAACACTTGTTCCTTACTTTTGATAGGGTCCAGAACTAATCCTAAACTTTGTTTCTTCCTCCGGAATGGAGAAAATTGGAATTTTTCTTCATCATTAAAATGTCTTACATCAGAGAGTACATAGCTGTTACATATTAAATCTTTAAATACAGAAGAATGTAAATCAGAGTGCTTTAAAACACACAGTGAATTCCAGCTGCTCAAGATTTGCTTATTTCTTTATACACTTTGGAAAAATGGGTAAAAACGTTGATAGAAACTTTTACAGTAAAATCTTCTGTTATGTTAAAAGGCAGTTTATGAGCATGTAATATCTAAGGCTAGGGAACATCAATTGTTTGGATAACACTTTTACTGATATTTTCAAAAACTCTGTCAACTTCTGCACATTGATGTGGAGTTAGCAATGCAAAAAATTGTTCTGGACTGGTTTGCCAGCCATTTCTTAACTCTGACTTCTGAAAAGGTCCTGCAACCACAGGTTACACAATTTTGTATGATCTCTGAGATATTCTTATAAAATGGCTGAACCACTAATTAGATAACTTTATAATCATTAGTGTGTAAAGATTCTATCTATTGTATAATCATATCTTCATCTTTGGAGCTCTCTGTCATAACTGCATTAAATTAATTGAAGGAAATCTAATTCGTAAAACAAAATTTCATGTTCCTTCATTATCCCTAGCTACTGCCAAGAAAACTTCAGATAAAAGAGAAGACATCACATTCCCTAAAAAATTATGAGTCAGTACTAGACTATATGGCAATGACGTTTAACATTCTTTGCTGGCTGTTTGGGCCACCTTTTGGACCTTTCTAATAACATCTTTATATTCCAGAGGCAATCATTTTGGATTTGGAACCATATCACAAAGTAGCAAGTATAGGTAATGCTGAAAAATTTATTACTTCACTAGTTAGCAATCTTGTTAAATTTTCCCCAATTACTTTTAATGCTCTTACAAAAAGAGTCTTGAGATATATATTTGTGGAAAAAATATTTATATGAAGGATTTAACAATTTTATGACCAATAGTTCACTTATTGATGGTATTTGGTCCTCAGGTGCATTATCTGAAAAGGGGCCATTTATGCAGGTACGGTATTTTATCCACAGTTTTTATTTTACTTCCAGATAGTGCTTGATTCATAGTTACGTTTTTTTGCCTGGAAGATATTTTAAGAATTGATTTATTGCCTTTGTTTGGTCTAAATATTTTTCTTTGAGCATCTGAATATGCTTTTAACTGTGGATCAATCAGTTTCATAGCTGTGTTAGAATTCAGCTTTGTTTTCATCAATTACACTCTGACATTTAAGACATGTTTCTGGTGAGGAAGAAAATATCAATCTACTTGCCATTTTGGTCAGATCATTCTCTAAACATTTAGCAGTTTATTCCAGTATTCCAAGTTTGTTTTCTGGTGGGTACTTGAGGACTGTCTGGTTTACTGGTTCACTTTAAGTTTCTAACCCCCATAGGCACATAGGTAATACTAGTGCTTTGTCCCTTTTCATACCAAAATGCTTATCAAAATCATTTATCAAAGCTTTCTCTTACCCCTTTATATTCTTTAGCTCTTATTTTAGGATTACAAGGATCTTCACAGATATCATGTTATGCTTTAAAAAACATTTTATTTTCTAAGTGAGATAAGCTACTTATACCAGGTATAGTAGCTTTAGTGTTTCTTCTGGTGAGGTGGTGAGGAAGACTTGGAAACACTGATGTTTGATCGGGAAAACACTTTTGACAGAGCTGAAGATACCTTCGCCAGCATTTTAGATCCTTGTTTGGAAATACTAGACTTTGGAGTTTCTGTAGACAAACCAGAAAAGGAATATAGATATTTATTAGACATTTTAATTGTGGCAGCCATACTAAGGCATGAATGATTTAAGATTTATAAATTGACATTTATAAAAGAACTTGTGGATTTTAAAGAACATTCACAAAGACTCTTTTGATTTGATCCTTCAAGCACTCCTGTGGAGGAAACAAGAAGAATGCTATCTCCACTTTCGGACCCTGAAGTTTGGTGAGGTCGTATGTCTTGCTTAAGGTCACATGAGTAGAAAGTGGCCAAGCTGGGGTTTAGGGACCAGGCTTTCTGACTCTTGTGGCATTGTTATGCTTACTGCACTTGGTACTTCTCTAGTCAGGTGTGCACAGACTGCCTCTCTTTTCTCAACAGGTAACTCCGAAAAATCACAGTGAGCTAAACTCACATGGAAAGGTAATTTTCAACTGCATATAGTGAGGGTGTCTATTTCAGAATGCTCAGGTGAAAGCAGAAGTGCATTAAAAATGCTATCATTTTCACCTAGTTTGACTAAATTTTCAGCAGACTGACCCCAAGTGATTTTTCTTTTTATATGAAATAATAAAAGAGGCTCCATTTGGACTTATTTTTTGCACCATTTATTTAGTGCATAGGACTCTTAGAGAATACTGCAATTCAGATGAACAAAATGATTATTTTATATGTAAAGAAAGAAATGAGCATTTATGTACTTTCCAGATACCTCACAATAGGATGTGATAAAACATGAAAACGTATGACATAAAATATGAAGTAAAAACTCGTATTTTCTTATTTCCAGTACATGATAAAGTTCATGTCAGTATCTTTTGCAGTTACCTATGTATATCTTCTTTGGTAAGATAACCTTCTATAGTTAAAGCTAACTCATTCTGTTGCCATCGAGTCAATTACAACTCATAGTGACCTTATAGGACAGCGAAGAACTGCCCCATAGGGTTTCCAAGGCTGTAATCTTTATAAATGCAGATTGTCAAATCTTTCTCCCATGAAGCAGCTGGTAGGTTCAAACCACTGACCTCTTGATTAGCAGCTGGGTGCTTAACCACTGCACTACCAGGGCTCCTTAAAGCTAAGATAACAGATAGTAAATTTAGCCATAAATAAAAAACAAAAAAGTTTAAGTTTTTAAAAGGCTGTTATTTTTTAAATAACAAGAACTTAAAAAGTAAAAAATAAGACCTAAGAAGTAATAAGAAAAAGCCCAAAATCAGTAATAAGAAAGACAAAATTGCATGAGGGAAACATGTAAAGTCTAAAATAACAAGAAAAAATTTTTGGTAACAAGATTGAGTACCTGATCCAAGACCATATTCTGAAATTCTCATTGGAGGAGGAAAATTAAGCTCTGCTCTTAAAACATGGGGAGCTTATTAAAAATGCAGATTCCTGGGCACTATCAACCACAGACCCTAACTGAGCCAGTCTGCAGAGGATCCAAGAATCTGTACTGTTAACAAGCACTCAGGGTGATTCTGATGCAAACGGTCCCTGGAGAGACACTGAGAACACTGTACCAAATGTATAGTATTAGATTCCCGTGTATTGCTCAAGATTGCTAGGTGGCTGGTATCTTAGGTTAACAACACACATAAAGCTCATCCCCAGAGAGGAAAGTGAACCCTTGTGGCTTCCAGTTAATCTTGTCAAAACAAAACTACAGGTCATGCTTGGGCACTACCCAACATGAGCCTCATTCTTGGATGCAATGGCAACTAGATGGGACTACAGTATGGAGGGAAGAAGAATGTAGGATGAAAGTCAAAAGACCTAGTTTTGAGCCCTGGGTCTGCCATTTGTTAACTATGCAACCTCAAGAAGATTATTTACCTTTTTTTTTTTTTCTTCTGTAAAAAAGACATGCAGAAGGAGAATGGTATGTGCAGAGGATATAGACAAATTTGTTTTGCCCACAACTTCTTTCAGAAAAACTTTGGATTATTTGATAACATTCTAAAATCAGGACATTGATTATAAGTGATTTAAAAATCACACTGACAAGTTTTATGTGATTCTTTAATGTGATTTTTAAATTACAGAAAACGTCTATCTCCAGCTTCTCCTGAAAAATTGGAAGCCCTGGCAACAATTCAGCACGGCAAATATTGGAGTTGAGTATCAACTCCCTCCTTTAGATGGGACACGCCATCTTCAGTGAGCCACAAACTCCTGCTCAACATACTACTGTTGTTTATATTACATATTATATACACATATTTGAGTGTATGAACTATAGGCAAGTGGAATGAGATTAGGCTTTGAAGCCAGGCAGATCTGTTTGAATTCCAATTCTGTAGTTTATCATCTGTGGAGTGACCTTGGATAAACTGCTGTCATCTTCCTCCTTCATAACTCTCACTTTCCTCCTTAATAAAATGGAGATATTCCCTCCTCATAGGGTTGATCTGAGAAAAGCACTTAGCAGAACCCCTGGTACATAGTTGTGCCTAATAAATGTTAGTTCCATTATCTGTTAACCCTTTGTGATGAGGTTCAAGTAAGAGAACTACACAATAAACTACAAATTGCTATCTATGTAAATAGCAAGTACATTATTTCAATCTCATATTGATCATAAGTGTGGATACTGCAAGGGAGGAGTCACTCATTGCAGGCGGGTTAACTGATCAAAATTTTAAATTTAAATTATGTAATGGAGAACTTTATCATACTAGTTCTTAAAATAAGAGCATATTTTATACCTGAAATTACTTCTTTTGCAGGATATTCACTGCTGAGAACTCTGTGGTATCCTTCATAGATGGTGAAAAACTACCAAGACAAAGTGAAATACTTAATCTTTAGTAGACAGTAAACACTAGGCATATCTAGAAACCTCCCAAGAGATGCCCCACATCCATTGCAGCACTGTACATAGTAATATATGTGCTCTGTAGTCAAAGAATTATTCTCTAAGACTTAGGCTCATAAATTTTGCCAATTATTATGCCTAAGACTGGCTCTTGTCATGGCCTTGGTACCACAAAAGGATGATTTCAAAAACTCAGGTATCTTAAATCACAAATAATGCCAGCCCTTATCTACCTGCTCCCTCCTTCTGCTGAATTAGAATAAGAAATAAGTTACAAATCCTTTTTTAGAGAATAGATAATGATAAGGGAAGGGGAAAAAAAAGTATGTTCACTTCATCACTTCAATTTCCTTTTATGGAAATCTTAGGAATTGTAGGGTCTGGAACAATAAAATGGCTATGTGAAGCAGGTAGGGCAAGGAAAATAGCTCAGGTATTATCTTCTCTGTAGACTTTTATCACCTCTTTAAATACAGAAACAATGACTGTCCCAGACAGGCACAAAAGAGCCTGGGGCAGGTAGCTGGACTTCAGCGTAGTTACTCTATGGTACTGGCAGTAAGAAGATGAAGTGAAAAATCAATTAAGTAAGGCCTAAATCCATGCAACATGAGACAAATGTATTGTGTATAGATTATGTAAAGAGCAACACATATTATAAGAGTTTTTACCTAGTTCTCCAAGAGGACATGAGGTAGTTTATGTACTATGATACTGAAAAACAAGATACATTAAGAATACAATGGGGCAGAGACAATCTAAAACACTAGTTTCTCAACTTTGGCTGTACAATAGAATCATCTATGGAAATTTTTTTTTAAAAGTATGAATCCCTGGGCCCCAAATCAACTGAACTGGAATCCCTGAGGATGTGCAGGTATTGGTATTTTTTTTTAACAATGCCCTACATTACTCTATGTACATCCAGAGTTGAGAGTCCTTGATCTAGAAGAATCAGCAGGGAGCAGATGGCACCATATTGTCTGAGAAGAGTGGATGTACTTAAGTTCTGCTGAGAACTTCTATCGTCCTATCAGGTTCAAGAGTGTTTGCTCTTACTTAATGGAGCATTGTTATAACAGATGTTTTAAAGCTTTTGTCTGAAAATTCCAAAATCTTGGTTACCTTGGAGTCTCTTGTCCTTTCCCTTGAAAGTTCTTTGTATATTGAGTAATTTTTTATTGTATCCTGGACATTTTAAATAAGCTATGAGACTCTCATTCCTGTTAAAATCCTCTGGAGAATGTTGTTTTTTTTTATTTTTTTTATTTTTATTTAAGTAGGCAATCGACTCACTTAGATTCATTCCACACATCTTACTCTGCTTTCTATGGACTGTGGTTCCAGTGCAAGTTTAGTTTTCAAAGTCTTTTCAGTGTTGGCACCACTATGAACACAATAGTTCAAGTTCTCAAAGCCTTTTTTCTGTGTAACTTTACGTCAGTTCCATGCATGCACAGGTCAGGGGATATTTTATAAACAGATTTAGGGGATGTCTTAAGATCCCTCCTCTCTGTGATCTCTCTCAGTCTCTCCGACTCTCAGCAGCTCCCTTTTCTGGCTCTATGGCTATAATGTTAAGGCTTTTGCCTCCTTGTGCTGTTGCATGCTGTCTTGCACTTCCCATGACTGCTTCCGCCTCCAGTGTAAAGTGATAAGAGAAAGCAGAGAAAAAAAAATAACAAGATTTTCTACTCTTCAGGCTAATGGAGACCCTCTTCCAAATTCCTCTGATCAGTATTGTCTCAGAAGCCTCTGCTACCACTACAGTGCAGCTTTATAACTGGAACTTGACTCTAAGCAAGGCCAAGAGGTTGGGGGCGGGGAGCAGTGAGGAAAAAGTGTTGATTCTCCCTCCCCGTCCCTCCCCTCCCCCAACAGTCTCAATCCCACAGGAACTTAAATCTTGATTCTGGCCAAATAGCAATGGTTTCTCTTGGAGCTTATTCTATCCTTTCCCTCTATGTTTGTTATTCCAGGATTTGAGCTGCCCTGTGTCTATGCCAAGAGACACAGGAGGAAAAAATGCCAGAAAACTCACAGTGATATTGGTTGTTCTAGTTTTTATTTCTCTCTCTAATCTCGTGCTATTATTTATTTTTCAGTAGTCCAGAGTTTTTAGTTGTAATCAATGAGAGAGCTAGAGTGGTGTATGCTTACTCTACTTACCCAAAACTAGACTGAACAACAGCTTTAACCATGGTTTTACCATGGAAAAAGAAGCAAATGAGGGAAAGGACAATGAGCCAATAGGTTCCAGATTAGACAGGAATTCAGACTGGTACAAGGAATGGCTTGTCCATAAGTCCCCTGTCTAGAGATTCAGCATCATCCCTTTATTGCCATATGGTTTTATTTGGAAAGTCTGTCTCTAAGTGAAGACTGAGGTTGTCAAATAGATATTCATAAATGAGGATTAGGTCACGCAGAAAATTAACCCAGCATCTTCGGAAGTTTTGTCACAAGTTATCTTAAGTATGAGTTGTAGGATTTTCAGAATTGGTTCTGATAATTCACTACATTGTGATACTGAGAGGTGACTGGATAATTGACAGATTGTGTATGCGTAAGGGTGTACTCACTTGCAGGATTAAATTGAACCAAAAAGGGAATACAGTAATAAAAAGCAGAGAAGAGGATCTGTAGCTTCAACCCTCATTGGAAACATCCCAAGAATTAGGGAAGAGGAAATTTCCTGGGCTCACACCCCTTTTGGAAAAGCTGCCTTTAAAAAAGCAGACCTCAGGAACGTAGAGAGGTAAGTGGAATCAGCACCTATTTCCTTCAAGTCCCTTCATCTCTGAGGCATCTGTTACCTCCCTGCCCCCACCAAGTCCCCAGCTTGGTTCTACCCACACTGGGCAGTGCCAAGTGACTCATTTCCTCTAGGTTTTCCCCAATAGACTGCTGTAAAAGAGCTAATAAATGGAACCATACTTAGGTGGTAAGGAGGGATAGTGGCTTATTCTATGTACTTAATCAAAGGTGAAAATTTTGATTAAGGGATTTTCAGCTACCAGAGACAAACCTCAGCCAGGGGTAGAGATCTGGATGTGAGGGAGTTGTGAACAGGACATTATTTCCTGATGCCCTTCAGATCACAGATACAGTCCCTGATTTGACCCTGACAGCCAGGCCATCATTAATTAGAACCCACTGTATACCAATTAAAACCCATTAACATCATGTCGATTAGACTCATGGTGACCCCATGTGTGCAGAACAGAACTGCTCGACAGTGTTTTCTTGTCTGTAATCTTTACAGAAGCAGATCACCAGGCCTTTCTCCTGTGGAGCCGATGGGTGGGTTCAAACTGCCAACCTTTCTAGGTTAGTGACAATTATAAACTGCTTGCACCACCCAGGGACCTACTATATCCCAATTAGATGCTTACTCACCTTAACACTGCTTGCATTCTCTAGCGTTGGTTCCTGAGAACCTTCTGTGGGCAAAACAAAACATTGGAAAATAATCTTTTTTCTAAGGCATGCATAATGTTGATACAAATTTTATCTTAATTTTTTTTTTCACCAAAGAATCATAGGATTTAGGCAGATAGAAGCAGTTACATGTATTTCTTTCAGTGTACAGACAATCAGAACAAAGCTGAAATAGGTTAGATCCCTAAAATGCTGGGCGTATCTTAGCTCTTCACTCAGAATTATAAAAGATGAAGTGTGACATAGTAGAAGGACAGGCAGGCTACACATATGTGTACAAACCACTCAATCTCTATGAACCTGTCTACCTGTAAAATGAGTGGTTACACTCTAGGTGATTCCTAAGGGTCTCTCCAGCTCTAACACTGTAGATAGGTAATTAAATTTTTTTTTTAAAAAAGGAATGAGGTTTCCAGCTAAAGGACTATCAGAGAGGAAGGTGCTGATCTTAAAAAATAGTTACTTTTGGTGAGAATCTGGATAGCTTTGAAGAACCTACCTGAGGGAGTCTGGTAGAGTTGCTACAGAACTAAACGTTGCCTGAGTTCCAGGGGAGGGCAATATGCCAGTGAAAGAAATTCAGCCCATGGAGATAGAAATGATACTGTGAGAGAAGTTTCACAAAGACTGCTAGGGAGGCAGCAAACCTGCTAGTAAGTCATAAAAACCTATGTTTGAGTCTTTGTTTCTCCACTCAGGGCCATGTGAACAATGCAAATTAAATCTAACTTCTCTGAATCTCAGTTTCCTCACGTGTAGAATGGAAATGAGACTACTGACTGTCCTAGGTGAGATAGGATACAATTATCAATATATGAAATTATCTTGTTTATGTTCTTACTCTTGGACTCCCTACTCCAAGTTACAATGTAAATTCCATGAAGACAAGGATTTTCTCAGTCTTGTTTACAGCTGGGATCTTAGAACTGTATCAGGCACAAAGTAGCTGCTCAGTAAATTTTGAATGAATTAATAAATGACTGAATTGTACAGGTACAATATTACTGAAGGATATAAGAACTAAGCATGATCACTGCAAGAAAGTTGGGAAACACACATACACACACAACACTGAATTTAGGGTCAGGAGACTTCAGATCCAGAGTGGGGATTCAGAGTGACCTTGGACAAGTCACTTTTTCACCCTGAGCTTCAGTTTCTTCATCTGTAATATTAGGGAGGTTGTACTAAATGGTTTCTGTCTGGCTCTAATAGCCTATGATTCCATAATGTAAAAATCAATTCAATGATTATTTCTGGCTATAATGTCCTTTTGGTTATAATGTGATCTCATGGAATGCTGGCATATATACTGCTATTTTTTTGGTTTATCTTTTAATGAAAATAATTTTCACTTACAAATTGAGAGAGTAAGCTTCTTGTATAACCCTTGAGAGGGCTGCATGTTTGAAACAGGCAAACTGTAGCCCTGTGGTTTGAGTTTCAAGGCTATCTTTACAGTAAACATGACACTCTACTCTTTGTGCATGGTGTCATTGTTAGAATCACACTGATCCTCTGAGGTTTCAATAAAGAATTAAAAAGTCCTCACAAATGTTGTAACTAGTACTAATAGAGATAAAAAAGAAAGTGAGGACCATTTTAGCTAGATTTTAAAGTGAGCAAATAAAAATTTAGCTTTAAAAACTTTTTTATTCATTTTAGTAGGGCTAAGTCATGATAAAAACCTAAGTTCTCAAAGAAATGATTAAATTATAGTAGCATGGGTTCTAGCCCACATATAAACTATCACTGCAGTACACCCTTATTTTGTGAATATTTTTCATAGGAACATGATAATTATAAATTCATATCACACTATATGCTGTACACCAAAATCATTAATGATATCTTAACAGCAATTCAGGCAAGGCAGACTAGTTGGCCCATTTTAACAACTGACTGATGTTATCATTGGATCATTTTCCAAAAGTAGATAAATCACTTGGGATGGGGTGAAACAGTATTAACTTCAGGTTTGTTATCTAAAAAATTCATCAAAGCAGCAAACAAAGTCTCCTTCTGAATACTCTAATTTAAATTAAGAAAAAAAAAAATCAATCCAACCTTCTAATATTTTAGCTCTTGGATCTGTGGTACAATCTTCAGCCTCACTAAAAACAAAAGAAAAAGAATATTTTATTTTCCATGTATTTAATAAATGAATTACTGGTTAAGCAAGAGAATATCTGTCAGTTATCTTCATATAGAAGTAAACCTGGAATAGTATATCTCTGAGTTTCCAAATCAAATAAAAATGATTGCTAAATTGACTTTTATTTGCTATGATCTGTGCCCTTTTTCTTCTCCACTGATGTAAACAATAGAGAAGTACCTGCATTACTAATTATGTATACTAAATTATCAAGCAGAGGAAAAGAGGCAATGGTGGACCAGGAATAGATATCCCACCTCGCATCAGGTCAAAAAGAAACAATTTGATAGTGCTGAGTGGAAAAACAAACATAACCAAATTGATTTTCTCCTTATACTCACTGCTTCTCTCATGATAGAAAATGCTATCTTCTAGTTTATTAATATCCTTATTAACAATTTTAAACAAGTTTTAGCTACTAATCAGACTTCAAGTCTATAGCTCACTTAGTCCCTCTCTGTCCCCTATATATGCCACACAGTCAGGGGCAGACTGTTCACTAAGCAACGTACGCACAGGCTTACTTGTATGATGTGGTGAAACTCATGTGAAATTGTGCACTATAGATAAATATTAAGTAAACGCAAGTAAGCCTGTGCATACCTTGCTTACTGTAAGCTTGTGCATACTTTGCATACTGGTTAATCTGCCCTCACACACAGTCCAGACTTTTCTCCTACAGTCATCCCAACTTGGATTGCCTGCCTCTCATTTAAATCCTGTCCATCCTTAAAGGCCCACAAGAAGCTCCATTACTTTTTAGAATTCATCTCTGAATGCTCCAATTTACATTGCTCCCTTTTTTCTTTCAGTTCTTCTTACAGGCAGTGACACACACTGGAAGATTTAGCTACTTAAGATAGATGAGATGGATTCCTTTTGGGTTATTACTGCAAATACTATTGTTGACCCAGTGCCTGACTCACAGATTAAAACATCCTAACATATTAGCAAATACTTGATCCATGACATCACTATATTAGAAAACAGGCCTCAAAACAAGGAAGTAGAGGTCAAGTAACTAGAAATGGGGGAGCAGGTGGGAAGGGGAGGCCTAAGAAGTGACCACAGTGAGAAATCAAAGAAGGAAAGAATGAGCAGGGAGTGAGGGAAAATGTGACGCTGACTATGTGCTCTCTCACACTTTTACTAAACAAAACAGAAACCAAACCAGTTGCTATTGAGTAGATTCTGACTCATGGGCTCCATGAGTTGTACAGTATAACTGTGTTCCATAGGGTTCTCAAGGCTGTGACCTCTTAGAAGCAGGTCACAAGGCCTTTCTTCTGAGGTGCTTCTTGGTGGGTTCGAACAGCCAATCTTTCAGTTAGTAGTCAAGCACTTAACTGTCTGCACCACTCAGAGACTCCCAGGAACCCAATTTTCCCCATAAGCAGTACTTTCATCTCAGATTTCTATTTTTGTATTGTTTTAATTTAATGTACCCGGCAGATGAAATCAGATCTTCTTGGTTGTATGAAGATGAACTCATAATTCTGTGTATGAAGTAATGTGTTGGTTCATTAATAAGATTCCTTTCTTCTTTCTGGAAAAGTGTAAATCATGTATTACACAAAGTAGAGTTTGATATGTATGTTCTCACCTTATTGGCATATTCTGCACTTTCATCTACATTGTAGTGAGATAAAGTTTTAGAATTACTTAAAAGGTGGATGAGCCCTATAATTCCAGTTAAAATGTCCCTCCAGATATAATTCTTTGGAAATGACTCAGTGAAGATGATTTAAATTATGATACTGGGTTTTGAAAAGATTTAAACATAAAGCTAGCACAATGTTTGAAGAATACACTATTCTGTTTGTTTTTTACAAATATTTAATTATTCATTTTTACTAAATTCAAAAATTTGAATAACTTTATTGTGATGTCCATTATTGATATCAAAAAGAGAGGCTACTATTATGAGGATTATTATTCATATAATCCATTTTGATGTTTGCCGATGTTAAGAGTATAACATTTCTTTAGCTATCTACAGTCAGCATTTCTGACCATGCTGCACAAGGAAACTGTTTTTCAGATTAGATTTGGTCATAAAATCACACATGACTTACCGACAGATAGATCAGAACACGTTTTAAGACAGATAACCTGGAAAGTTGGTATTATGGATTGAATTGTGTTCCCCAAAAACATGTGTTGTAAAACAAACCTCTGCCTGTGGTTATAATCCCATTTGTGAATGGGTTTTGTTTGTTATGTTAATGAGGCAGGATTAGGTTATGTCAGTGAGGACTGGGTTGTATTCATTATGTTAATAAGGCAGGAGAGGGTGTACCTCTAGTCAATCTCTTTTGAGATATAAAAGGGGTTAAACAAGTAAGCAAGAGAAGCATAGACAGGGGAAGGCAGATGCCAAGCCACATAAAGATTGCCCAGAGAGAAAGACATTTCTCTGAGCCAACAGAGGAGTTGGCACTCTTAATTCAGACTTATAGCCTCCTAAACTGTAAGAAAATAAATTTGTCTGTTAAAGCCATCCACTAGTGGTATTTCTGTTATAGCAGCTAAGAGAGTTGGTGAACTGACCAAAATTGTATCTCTGTTCCTTTTCTCTGGTTCACCTCAGCTCTTGTGTCAACCAGAGTGCCACTTCAAATGGATAATCAAGAAAATTGTCTCACTAGGAAATCTTAAATTTTATGTATACTCGAAAAACATGTTATGGCACAGATTTCTGAAAAGGACCAACCCAAAGGGTTACTGAGATCCAGACCACCATCTGAGGTGTATGGAACCAGGACAAGATCTGTACAACATGATGACAGTGGAATTTATGGGATGATTGCAGGGGTGATATTTAAAACATTTTGATGAACTTGTTAAGTTTGGGCAAGGTGGCTAAGTATACAAAAACCTACAAAAGCCAAAACCTGTGTAAGGTGGAAACGTGTTTGAGAAGGAAACCTCACTGGGTGTTTATGAGGCAGGATTCTTAATAGAGAGCGACAGTAAAGAGGTAAGCACCCTGTCAAAGGTAGAAAACTTGTGAGACCTGGAAAAACAAGCACTCCTGGCTAGTTCTGGCTCTCATAGGTTTCACTCTCACTTTTAAAAGTTGACTATGTAACTTGCCCAAATTTTATAGTTATTAAGTGACAGAGACAGGATTCAAACTCAGAAATCTGAATCCTGCCTGAGGCCACCTTCTGGTCTTGCCCTACAGGCATGGGGCTTCTCCACACAAATTAGTCAATGGATAATTAACTAGCCAATGTACTGGCATCTACTGCTTTAAATTGGCTTGCATTTCTCTTAACCAGTTTCTATTTTCTGTTTTCCTTGTGCTTCTAACTAATCTAGGTCTCCTTCCATTATCTGCTTTCCCTCAATCGAGGCTCACGGCTTTATCTCTTAATTATTTCCTTTATATTGTATATATTGTAAATTTCACCAAGTTTATGAGGAGACAATCCAGATCCATTTTAATACTCTTTTCTGCCTAGTCAATGTACATTCTTGGACAGGATTTGTAAAGTTCTCTACCCTTTCCATAGACATCTGGTAACTGACAGTCACATTTCTCACTTACAGTAATACGCTGTGGCTTTTTCTCCAAAAAAGAATCTGTTTCAGTCAAAGCTGTTGAGCAGGTGGCCATGTTAAGCTTGGCAACAGCTCTTTTAACTTGTTCCTCCTTGGAGTCTGTTATCTGACTTAAGGTTGCTTCAGTACTTTCGATATTTGCACTGGATGTGGGCTGACAACATTTGCTTAGAGATAAAAATTTTTTCAGGCTGCTTGTGCTTAATGTTGGCTTGGGAGAAACAACTTTGCTTTCTACTGGCTTCGTGGCTTCTTTTACTTGATCTTCAAATGTTTCTCCTAAGAATCCTCCTGGTACAACAACCTCTCCTAAAACGACTTCTTCTTCAGAAATTAGTGCCCCTTCCATGTAACTTTCTGTATCTCTTTGATCAATATCATGAGCTACTAAACGAATGAGAAGATCTTGTTTGCTCTTAACATCTTTTAAAAGCTCCACCCTGGTAAGATCAGGCTTTCTTATATTCTGAAATGAATTTCTGCAAACAGCCTGGAATTTAAGGTACAATGAATATTAAAAACAAATGCCTCAATCATTTTTCTTGTGTTTCTATAACTGTTTTCATATTATTTCTAGTTTTGATTTAGTAAGAGTATCTCCAAATGCCATCTACTTGTATACTGGCAATATGTCTTTAAAAAGAAACAAATGAAAATTATCAGAAATATTTGTTGGTTTCTATAATTTCTTTTATATTCAGAGATCATATTAATTTATTACAAATTACCACAGAAAGTAGAAGGTTTAACATAGGTACTTTCTTTTACTTAAATTTTACATTTTGTTGCAAAATAATTTGATTAGTTTTTGTTTTTGTCATTTACCTTAAAAGTTTTATCACAAAAGTAGACATGATAATATATTTTTCTAAGATCCTAGGCAGGGAATTACAGTGCAATCCAAATGCAGAAATTTTCAAGAAAAAAGGCAAGGTGTTACCTAATCTTTATTTTTAAAATGGTTAATAATAGCCAAAATTGTGAAGACCTTTGAATCTTCACTCCCTATTCCTCCACTCCTGATCCTTTGAACATATTTTTCCGAAGAAGCTCCAAAACATAAATTTTCATTTCTTTTCACCTCATTAAATGTCACTTTCCATTTTTCAGTGTTAAAGACAGATCAAGGAAAAGACAACAATTAAATGATGGAATTTCCCCATTTCTGTAGCCTTTGATGATGCCACAGGACTTATAAATTAATTTCAGTTAATAATCTTGATCTCAACATCCCTTTGTAACACTGTAAGCCACCTTTTCAGATAATGGTACCCTAAAAGAATATCTTCTGTGGAAAACAAAATGTAGGAAGAACCTCTTTAAAGAATGAAACACAATATTATCTGTGCTACTAAAAGGAAAGAGTGGCTTAGAAAATCCAAAATCATTCAATATGGCTTTGGAATTTGTTATTGTTTGTATCTGAATGCAGGTCTACTCTGATACATGTGGGATCACGATGAGTTGGAACTGACTCGATGGCTACTGATTGGTTAATATAATGAAAGGGAAATAATAAGAAACATGTAATTTAAGGGCTTGCAGTCTAATGTTAGTTGATGAGTGTTGCTAAAAGTAAGGAGTTACTACTGCAGAACCTTAAGTTTCAGATGTTAAAACTACTGTGGAGGCTGAGAATTTTGATCTTATATTAAAGCTCTTTTGAAACACCTTTTGATATACATAATAACTGCAAAAACTACAAGAGATTGCTTCTTCTGAATTTCATATAAGGATTATAATTCCACTCAATTTGGTTTTACTGTTAAGGATATGTACTTATATTCTCTTTCTTCAAAAAAATGTCAGTTGGCTTACTAGCTTGAGATCTTAAGAGTATACCACAAAGCTGATATGGCAAGTTCCGGTAAATCATAAGATTGTGCTGGAATCAATCAGCACACTCAATTCTCCTATCAGGCTGGGCCAAAAAACAAACAAACAAACAAAAAAACATTCCAATAGACCTATATGAGGAAAAGTATCACTGAAGAACAACCATGTCTCACTAGTCACTCATTTTTTGCCATTGCCTTTTGCACTTACCTCAAAGGGCTTTACATCCAGTCGTCCTATCTTATTCAGTGAGATACGTCTTTCCTTCTTTCTTCTTTCTCCATCAGATGTGTCAGATGAGGCATAACTTTTCCCACTTATTGATGCTTTTCTCAGTTCTGTTATGCTATGCCCAGTTTTTCTTAAACACTCCACCTTAAGTTTCTCAAGAGGTTGAGTTTTTACAGAAATGACTGCTAAGTGTTCTGAAATAATGTTTGGATCTATACTGATCGGTTTATTCCCAATGTGTGGAACTATTTTAACTGGAAATTCCTCTTCAACTGAATCATGATCTGACTCCTCTTTCTCTAAGTCAGGAGCAATTTTAAAAGCATGTTCCTGTGCCTTTTGAACAATTCGATCAATGTCCAGATCTGCCAAGAGATCATCATTCAAATGCTTTGAGCTAATTTTATTTAATGAAATATTTGAAATGCTATTAAGAATTAAACTAGCCACCTTTCTAGGGAAGACTCTGTTTTTACCTTTTATATCAGAATAAAGATCTTCATGAGTTCCAGATTGTTGTAGTACATCACTATAAACAGAATCAACAACATGAGAAACCATCTCTACACTTTCTGGGTTTAAAAAGTGTTCTTCAGGATCAGCAGCTACAAGACTAATGTTACTCTTGGAAATTTCAGCTGTTACAGATTTTGTCAGTTGGGATGCAATTTTATTTAACTCAGGCTTAGATAAGTTTTTTTTATCTTTTATCGAGGCACTTGGCAACCTTACTAGTTTAGATAAGAACAAGGCCAATGCTTCCTCTAAAAACGCAGCATCTAACACAAAACCTTTTCTAGATAAAGCCTTTTCCTGGGACTTCAGTTCATCAGTAATCTTAACCACTTTTTCCATAATTTTGACAGCTTCCAGAACTAATTCTGAATTTGATACTTCTTCCTCTACCTGAGGTTGAAATTCTGAATTGGAAATTTCCTTCACCATTAAAAAACCTATTATATCAGAGAGAACATTACTCTTACCCATTAAATCTTTAAATACAGAAGTATGTGAGCCAGAGTGCTTTAAAACACTGGTATAAACAGAATTAACTACATTTTCAATAGCTGCATTATCAGTTAAAGGTACAGTGGGTGATTCCTTGGCTGCAGGTACAAGTTTAATCTGACTTTTAGAGATAAAATCTTGGACTGAATTTAAGATTTTTGAGGTTATTTTTTGCATTTCAGTTTCAAGAGATTTGGTTCTTCCCTTACCCACTTTTAGAAACACAGAAAAAAGCTTTGATAAAAATTTTACTGCAATTTCTTCTACTATGTTGTAAGACAGTTTATGAGCATGAGATGGTTGAGACTGGGGAACATCAGTAGTTTGGATGACCTCTTTAAGGATATTTTCAACAATGCTGTCAACTTCTGCACACTGATGTGGAGTTAGCTCTCCAGAAAAATAATTCTGCAACTGATTGCCAGCCACTTCTCGTAGCACTAAGTCAACTATGGCTTCTGAAAGGATTCTGCATCCACTGGTTATACAATTTTGCATAATCTCTTGAGATCCAAACTGTGGCAAGAGATTATTATAAACAGACTGAACCACTGATTGAGTAATTTCATCATCACTAGGATGTAAGGATTCTACATACTGTATAACCATATCTTCATCTTTGGAGATCTCTGTCATAGCTGTACTAACTAACTTCATTTGAAGAAAATCCCAGTCTGTGAACATTCTGTCCTCAGATGCTTCTGCTTTGGTGTTGGATACCGTAAAGAAAATTTTAGATAAAAGAGAAGAAATCACATTCTCTAAAAATTTATGAGGTAACACTATGGTATATGGTGATGATGTCTGACATTCTTTGTTGGCTGTTTGGGCCACTTTTTGGATCTTTTTAACAACATCCTTAGATTGCAGAGGCAAACATGCTGAAGCTGGAACCTCATCACCAAATATCACGTCAAGCTGATGTTGAAAAATTTCATTTATCACTGCACTAGTTAGCCTTCTTGCCAAATTTTCCCTATCAGTGTTTATGTTCTTACAAATTGAGTCTTGGGATCTATATTCCTTCAAAATATTGCATATGGAAGAGTGAACAATTTTATTGACCAATGTTTTATCAAGTGCTGGCATTTTATCTAGAAAAGGTACTTTATCTGAAGATGATTTTTTAGTCATTTTATGTCCAGGTGGTATTTTACCTACAGTTGTCATCTTAATGCTTGATGATGCTTCATCTGAAGTTGTTTCTTTTTGCCTAGGAGGTATTTTAGGAACTGATGAGACTTTACCTGCAGGTGGAAAAAGCTGATTTCCCTCATCTGGCCTAAATACTTTAATTTGAGCATCTGAAAACTCCTTTAACAGTGAGTCAATCAGTTTCATGGCTGTGTTGTACAGTTCAGCTTGATTTTCATCATCAGTTACACTTTGACATCTATCCCATGTTTGTGTTTCTGGTGGGGAAGAAAAGATCAATTTGTTAATCATTTCAGTGATGATATCTTCTAAAAATTTAGCAGGAAAAATTCCAGGTTTATTTTCTGGTGAGTACTGAGGACTGTCTGGTTTATCAGGTTCACTTTTAATCTCTTTAGCTTTCTCCTTCTGTTCCTCTTCCTCTTTGGCAGGGACATTTTTGTTAATTGAGGAGGATAAATCCTTCATTGAAACAAACTGTACAGAATCCTTGCTAACCTCCTGAATTACATGTAATGCTTTATCACCCTGGGGACTTTGGAATTTTGAATCATCTGCTGGTTCTTGAAAAGACATTTCCAAAATATTATCATAAATATTTTCAACAACATTTTGAACACGTTCGTGATCCAAGTATTGTTCCTCATCTGTAACTATTTGGACTGGAAAGTCTCTTGTCCCATCATTGCTTGGCTTCTGGATGTCAATTTGCAAAGTTTTCTCTGCTGTGGTCCCCTTGTTTCTTGCATTGGACATTAAAGATGTTTTAAAAGGCTTGTCGTTATTCTGTAATGAACATTCTCTCTGTTTGTCATTCTTTTCATCATCTATTTCAAAATCTGATCTTGGTACTCTCTTCTCATATTTTGTAACACTAGTAACTACTGAAAAATGTGTATGTACCTCATCACCTTGCCCTTCCTCATCTTTTGGAGCTGGTATGCTTTTCTTCTCGATTTCTTTAAGTGTTACACTCAAATCTGGCTCCTGGGTATCCTTACTTTCCATACTGCTAGTTGGAGAAGTAACTCTTGATACATGTTTATTATATTTTTGAATTGCAGTTTCCATTTTATTTTCGTCCTCTTTCTTTTTATTTGTCACATCTGCAGCTGACCCTGATGCCTGGCTAACAATGCCACTTTTCATAATTTTAGTTATAGAGGTAAGTACTGGATCATGAGTGCCAACTTTTTTCATTGATTTCTCCTTTTTGTTGAAACTTTTCTTTCTATTCATTTCATCTCTATCTGTTTCCAAAGTGTCCACTGTATTTTTCCAGCCAGAGGTTACAGAAGTGTGTTTATATGACTCTTCTGGTAAAGTAAGTTGGTTCCCTTTTAAGCATCTGTTTATCTGTGTAGAGGTTTCTTGTGGTAGATGTTGAACCCTTTGGGTGATGTTATCTGGATTTAGAAATGAAAAAAAGGTGGAAGACCAGTCTCCTGAAAAAAGTGGTTGAATCTTGAAAGCAGAGATTGCCTTCTGCGCTAAAGAAGAAATCATTTCTATAAAAATGTTATTTTTATCATCTTTCTGAATATCGTTAGACCCATATTTTCCTATGAACTGATCATACACATAATTGGATATTTTATCAACCGTCTCTTTATCAATTGGTGGAAAGGAAAGTATTTCTTCAGCATTTGGTAGAACCTTAATTTCACTTTTCCTAAATTCCCTTATCAGAGAGTTTGCAAATTTTATAGCCAAGCTTACAATGTCTGGTTTTGGCATTTCTTGTTTCTTAGAATCTTCTGCAACACTTGGAAGAGAATAAAATTTGCACACAAGGTCAACAATTACATCTTCCAAAAATGTAGCTGAATATAGGGAAGGCTGTGTCTTTTCTTTACCAGGTTTAGCAAGTACAGAAATATGGTCATAATCAGATAAGTCACTGGAAGATGATTCTTCACCATGTAAAAATGGCTGCAGATGATGATTCATGATTTCCTTCATAATCCAGCTAGCTATTTTACTGAGAAATGAGCCTCCTTTTTTGTGTGCATTTTTCTGTACTTCAGTTTGGAATTCAGATTTTTTCAAAATATTGTTACATATGGAATTAACTAAATTCTCAATTGCTTCTAATTGCATACTTTCTGCATTCTCCTCTGCTGTGGCAAGCCTTATCTCATGTTCAGAAATTTCTTTTATAATTTCATCAGTCAATTTAGAAGCTGCTTCTACAAACTCATAATCTGATGGCAGCTCTTCGTCTTCTAGTTCATTTTTAGGGTCAGTTAATAGGAATATATGCACTAGAAGCTTGTAAATCATATCTTCTAAAAGGGAACGAGGCAACACAGTAATACATGATGGCAAGGTATGGTTATCCATTATGATGGTATCCACCACCTTTCTGATAATATTATCTGCTTGTGGGGAAGAACAGGAAGAATACACTAATTCTCCGGAAACTAATGACTCCACCTGGTAATCATAAATTTCTCCCAACAGCAAATGATATATTTTCCTTCCAAAACACATAGTGTCACTTTGTATAGCCTTATATACTTGAATCAGAGATTTATATTCATCTAATATTTTTTCATAAATTAGGTTAACAGTATTTTGAACCATTTCTTTATATTCTTCTGAAAAACACAGATTTTCATCAACATTATCTGCAAGTAAAATATCTGATGTGGTGAACTCCAGAACAATTGATTTTACTAATGTTGTAACAATGCCAATAATTTTGGCTTTTGTTTTATCTGGATTTTCAGCAGCGAAGACATTATGTGAGAATGCATAAAGGATTTTGCATAAAAGCTCAGAAATTACTTCCTCCAAAAAGACAGCTGAGTTTACAATCAAAGACAATTCTCTTTGTTTAGAATCTACTGCTTTCTGATTATAAGTTTGATCAACTGAAGGTGAAAGTAGAGTTTTGTCTCCAGATAAAAATGACTTAAGATGATGATTAAAGATTTCTTTTATTATAAAACTTGCTATTTTTGAAACAGGTATGTTACTCATGCCTTTTTTATCTTTTGTAAGAGACTGGTATAGATTTGAATATGAAAGATCAGTATAAATGGAATCAACCATAGACTGAATATCTTTTTCAGAAATCATACTTTGTTTTTCACTCCCATGTCTAATAATACAGATTGCATGTTTTGAAATTATTGATGTAATTTCATTTATCAGTTTCATAACTGTATTACTTAAGTCTGATTGAGTACCATCTTGATTTTCTACATTAGAGGCCAATGGACTCATCTGAGATATAAGCTGAGTGACTATTTTTTCCAAATGAGTATGTGATAATACAGTAGTATATGTTGTTGAAGCTTGTCTTTGGAGTCTTGATTTACTAATACCATATTTAACTCTCTTTATTAAAACATCAGCACTGAGTTTGGAATGTGACTTAATAGGCAGTTTTGCTATAAAATCTGGGTGAATTTGGAAATCAAAAATTTCAGAAAGGATGATTTTAGTTATCCTTGCAGCCAGTGTCTTTGTGTCATTTAGAAAATCTTTACTGGGAATTATTTCCATTTCATATTCTTGCAAAACTTTGCTGTACACTCTGTCAATAATTTTTATGACTATATCTCTTTCTACTGGAGGCACATCCAACTTTTTCTCAGCATTTTCTAGGATGCTAACTTGGGCTTTTGAGAATTCCTCTATTATCAAAGGTATTAGTTTTTCAGCTGTTTCCAACAGTTCATCTTCTGAATCTCTTACTGATTTTGTTTGCACAATTCCTAACAACCTGTGGAATATTTTGCTTAAAACCCCAGAGACCACATCTTCCAAAAAGCTTGAGGAATAAACACTGGTATAAAACAACTGCCTTCTCTCATCATCAAAATATGTACATGAAGATGTTAATGACTTCCCGTCCACAAATGGCTGAAGATGTTGTTCACAGATATTTTTAATGATAAAACCTGCTATTCTATCAATAAGAACATCATTACTGTTCATGATATTACGCTCAATTGATTCTTGAGACCCAGAGTTTTGCAAAATATTTTTGAACACTGAGTCGACAAGATGCTGAACATCATCCTCTGAATAAACAGACTTGGTTTCTTCTTCATCTTTTGAAAATCGAATTTCATGTTGGGAAATTTTCATCCTAATATCACTGATTAGCTTTGAAGCAATTTCATTGAAATTCACTCCTGATCTATCTTTTCGGATTTCTCTGTTTGGAATCATGCTAGATGTGGAAGGAAAGATTCTAGATAATAATGCTCTGATCATATCCTCTAAAAATGTGTATGGAAGCAAGGTGTTATATGGAGATAAACTCTGGCTTTGCTTGGTAGATTTACTGATGCTACTAAGGATGTCCTGAACAATATACTCAGCCACTGAAGTAGAATGGGAAGAATCTGACAAATCCCCAGACAAAAATGGATGAAGAAGGTAATCTGAAATAGCTGCTACAATTAAATTGGTAATATTTTCCACAAAAATATCACTGTCTTTAAATTCTTTATCAACCTCGAGATCTAGCCCATGCTGTCTTAAAACATTTCTATAAACTGAGGTGACAAGTTTATCCACTATATCTGTATCTCCAAAAGGGTAACACTGCTCTTTGTCATCATATAGAGTGTAAATGTTTGCTTTGTCAAAATGGTTATTTACTGAGTTTATTATTTTTTGAGTCATTTTTTTCAGGTCAATTTCAGTATTAGACTTTGGAATGAAGATCTTAGATAAAAGTCTGGCAACAATTTCCCCTACAAATGCATCAGGGTTAAACCCTAAGGGTGATGGCTTTTGGGATCTGTGTGACTCTGTGACATCACTGAGAATATGTTTAACCATTTTAGATATTTCATCCAATGGAGTCTTAGGGCAAGGTAAACTTTCTCCCCTCAAAAAGGGCTGAAGGTGATTTTCAATAATCTCTTGGATAATACAACTAGCTATTCGGTCAGCTATACTTGGGCTCTGGCTTACTATACTTTTCTGTATTGAAACAAGAGAGTCAGACATTTGCAAAATATTTCTATAAACAGAATCCACCATCTTTTGGAGGTTTTTCCCTGTATATAGATAGTGATTATCATATATAGTAAACCAAATTTTATGTTTTGATATGGCTGACATAACCTTATTTACTATACAGGTGGACATTTCATTAAAATTTGAACTCATTAAGTATTTCTTTCCCATAGAGGAAGACTCCCTGGGTGGAGGAATGAGCTGAGATAAAAGTCTTCTGATAACATCTTCTAAAAAGGAGTGTGATAACATGGTGCTGTAGCCTGTTGAAAATCTAGGATGGGAAGTAAATTCTCTCAGTTTACTCTGAAGTTTCTGCAGTATAATTTCAGCTTTGAGAGGATAATATGAGTCAGGTATGAGCTTCCCCTGGAAGTAAGATGGGAGTTGGTAGTCTAAAATCTCTAGCAATATGCCATTAGTTATTTGTTCTGCTATTGAGGTATTATCATGTGCCAGATTATTACCACAGATCACTTGCAATTTATAGTGCTGTAGAACATCATTATAAACTGAGTCAACGATCTTACTAACAGTTTCTTTATGAACTGGTGGAAAACACAGCTTTTCTTCAGCATTCCGCAAAACAGTGACCTGTGCATTATTAAACTCATTCACCACAGAGTTGACAAATAATGTATTCATTTCATTGAGCCAGGCCTCAGTGATATTTTCATTTTTGCCCCACAATGAGGTAGAGAGATTAAAAAAGAGTTGTGAAATTATTTCTTCCAAAAATGTAGCGGAATATACACCTGTATTCACACCTCCTGGATGTAGCATGTTATTGATGGCTGTTGTATCCATTTCCGTTGTTTCCTGTCTTTTAAAAGGTGACACAGAAGATTTTACTGAAATTTGCTTGCCAAATGGCGCATGTATTTTGGATCTAACTATACTGGGATTATTCAGGGATCTTCTCAAAGGATTACTGTCATAACTCATACATCCTAGACGGCCTTGATCTTGTTCTGTGAATTCTGGCCTTTTGGCTTTTGTGAAACTAGACTGTATTTCTCTTGTTCTATACTTCAAATGCTTGTTTGCAGAAGGCAGACTTTTGGAGGTATGTTGTATACTGTGAGATAGTTTTTCCATCAATGATTTAACCAAGCTATGGGAAATAATAGTAAGCATAGAGTCTGATGACAGTAAGTCTTGATCTATTTCTGCCAGATTTTCCAAAAGGTCTGACATGTAATCTCCTTGAAATGGCTGACAGTCCAATGCTACCTTGCAATAATCAAATTCTTCACCTTCTACACTTTGAAGTATTTTTAAAAGTTGACGTTCTTCTGATATGTCATCAGAAAGAGGATCATTATTTTCAAGGTAGCCAGTGCTTGTGCATTTTTCCAAAAGTATTCTAATAAGTTTCTCACACACTACATTAAGAAGAAAAACTGATTTTGGTGAGAGACCTAGGTTATTTCCATGTGTGTTATTACCTTCCTGATTATTTGACAATGGGAAAAACTTCCTTGCTATTTTACCAGAATTCACAGACATATCTGGGCATTCATCTGGCAAAAATACATCCAAAACAATATTAAAAACTTTATTGACTACTTCTTTGGATTCATGAGTTTTTAAGCTACCAACCAGACTGTCTAACTTACATGCCAGATAATTTAATTTATTTTCATGAATGAGTTGATCAATTTGATGAGTAGATGATTCTGAATCTCTGGGATCCGTCTGTCTTTCCATGGCATTAGTTTTGTAGCAAATGGGCGCTCTATGACTTCTAAGCATGGAACATGATTTGTTTCTTCCATTGTTTTTAAGGTGATGATTTATTCCTATTTCTTTGGATAGTATATGAATCACTCCTATTAAGAGATCCTGAAAGAGATCATCAAAGTCAGCAGCAGCTACACCTGGGCAGTAAATGTATTTTGTTTTCATAGAAGTCATTTGCTGTGCAAGGTCAGCCTTTATAACATTACTATTAGAAAGGATTCGAATAATGATTTCAGAAATGCTTAAAGCAAGTTCTCCAATAGGAACTGACCTGCTCTCAAACACTTGGGAATGAACTGAAATAATCTTGTTAAATGCTGTATCTTGGCTTTCCAATACTTTCACTTTTTCTCTGTCCTCTTCAGTGCCATCAAAAATCCTTGAAATTATATGGTACATGACCAACTCAGTGAGATGTTCACAAAATTGATTAAGTGAAGAATCATCATGTACACTTTTTAGAGGCTGGTTTGATTCATATTTTTTCCTTGACAATGTAGAAACAATAGACAGATTTTCTTCACTGGAAACTTAAAAAAAGAAAACATTACCATTTTTTAGCATGCATTATGAAAAATTCAATATATTGGTAACTATTTACATATATATTTTATCTAGGGAGCATCTAACTAAAGAAAAAGCAAAACCTAGTAAAGACAGGAATTGGGTTTCCTTCAAATATTTATCTTCCACTTTGTGAAATCTTCATTTTAGCTTGGAAGTTGAAAAAATAACCCCAAATAGCTTAAATCTCTGAGTACTGATGTCTGTCTTCATGGATTGTTACAGACTCTAAGAACCTGGAAATCCTGGGGTAGACAAAATGATTTCTAGGTTTGGTGTTACATCTTAGCATGTCTTCAGTGATTTGTAGGGACCTTAAGTAATTACTTAAAAAAAATCTCTTTGGTCTAAACATTTAATGTTATGCAGTAACATGAAGAGGTAAGGGAGTTGGGTTGTAGTATCAGTTTGACTAAAATAAAAGTATGGCAACTCCCAGAAAGATTAGGGATAGACTGCAATGGCTGTAGTACTTTAACACCCTGACTATAGCTTGTTACAAAGATGGAGGGCCAGTCCTGCTAGGCACAGGTCTTCGTTCTTTGTTTTGCTCAACAGAGTATTTAATGCAAATCATATGCATACTTGGGCTGGCTAGCTTCTGGGGAGTTGCAGCCAGAGCAGCATACTCTTTTTTCTCAGAATTTCCTCAGAACTTAATCATATATTATAGCTCCCAATCAGATTATGTTTCAACTGTCTTTAAACAGTGTTTTATATATATTATAATCCCAAATGGAATCATGCTACAGAGGAGAGAAACTGGCCCTTCATTTTTATTCTACCCAGAGTCCAGAATAGTGGATTTAATAGATACCTAATTGCCTTTCCCCTCCCTTCCATCTTTACCTCTATTTGTACAATTAGTGTAACACTGAAAAAACACTGAAAAACCACAAGTCCTTCACTTTTCAGATAGGGCCACTGGCCCTCAGAGAAGTGACCTGCCTCAGAGTAATTTAACCACTGACTAAAAAATAAGTTTAGAAACTAGTGAAAAGGATTACATTTGGACTTAACTGTTTTCACACATTTTAAGTAATGACGTTTTCTTTAAATGTTATGTAAATTTAGGTAACTGGTGTATTATTAATATATTATTTTAATAAAATGATTTTTTCTACCCTTTTAGGGAGATATTAATTTTAGCTAGGATGTGATCAGACTAGACTTTGGAGAAGTGGGAAGCTTTACGCTGGGCTTTAAAAGCCAGACAGCATTTGGCCATGTATAGATGAAGGGAGTAAGGAGAGGGTACTCCAAGTCGAAGAAGAAAAGGGAAGGTAATGAAAGGTCTTGGAAATGTCTGAGAACAGAGAATAGATTTGATAAAAGGAGCCAATTATTAATGGGGTGGAATAATGGACCATTTTTTGTTGTTTTGTTTTTCATTATTAATACTCTAAGATCAATTTGGCTATGCCTGGAAGAATTCTATTTATAAGTTTATAATTGCAGATGCACAAATGTCCACACTAAGAGAATACCAGTTCTAAGGACAGGAAATAACCTCCTTATGTAGGTGGGTAGGACTGGTAGTATACATTCCCCTATTTAAATGATAAGCTAGTGATGAATCTGGATTGGTAATGTAGCAACTAATTATTGGTTCATAAAACTATTGATCTAATTTAGGGCTACTATAGTATTATTAGATTGAATTTTATGACATTTCCAATAATCAACAATTTTTGACATATATATATTATTATATATGGTTCAACCTAATATATACAGACAAGCATTCCTAGAAAGGGAGTGCAAATATCATGCTTGTAAGGACAGGCTTAGAGTATTATACCTAAAAGGAATTAAGTCTGAATAATGGAATGCAAACAAAGCAAAACATTTAATACCACTGTTCTTATTAAGTGTGAATAATAATGGCAAAGACTTCAATTTTACACCTTGAAAAGAAGTTAAATTACTGACTTGCAATTAATTAACTATACATTCGTATGATTATAATGAAGTCTTTAATAAGAACACCCCCCCCCAAAAAAAAAAAAAAAAACACCTCTTCGGAACTCATACTCCATGCCTAACCAAATCCATTTTCTTTCATCTGCAGATATGAAAAACTGAGCAACACCCCTTCTAGTTCAAACCATGCAAATATTAAACTTTTTGTTTTAATTTTTTAAACTTCCTGACAGATTAAAAGAGAATTAACTAGTCACTCCACTTCCAAGGATATTTTCAGTGAATACAGTTTCTTGGGCAGGAGGTAAATCTTTTACTCTTTGACTTTTAATCTTTTAATTTTTGACTATTTTTCCTAAATTATGCCACCTTTTTTTAAAGTAGGCTATCTCTTGCTTACCTCTAATTTCGAAGTTCTTGAAATGTGTGATCACAGACCTGGTGACATGTCTTGCTACCAAATGAATTTCATTTGGACCAAGTTCATGATCAGCAAAACCAATGACTTCAACTTCTTTCAGAGTCTCTATTTTCTTTATGTTTGGGGATCTTTTTTTCCATTTTTGCAATAAAGGAAAGTCTCCACTGGCTTCAGGATTTTTGCATTCTTCTTCCACTATACTGCCAATTCTTTGATCCCACATTCTAAGCAAATTTTTCTCATTCTTTTCTTCCTCAGATATTATAGACAAAGGGCTTTGCTGTGATATGAAAAATGGTTTCATTGTTTCCATGCTTTCATTAGTGTGTGGTTGACTTGGAAAGCCATAGCTTGCAAGCACAGTATTGACAATATTTTCTGCAGCTAAACATATTCTGAGTGGAGAAACAGTTGTCTGAATTTGGGTTGGTTCAACAACTGGTTGTAAGGTTTCATAAGGAAACACTCTTGGATTTTCACCTTTTCCCATTTCTATGAAAGCCATGGCTTGCTTTAATGCTGTTTCTGTAGATTCATTTGCTTTCTTAAAGAGTTTCTGTAAAATGCTGCCTTCAGGGACAAACTTATTTCCTTTTATGGCTTGAGCAAAATGGCCATAGTTAGGTTTCCTTGAGCTTTGGATTTGTACCTTGTTTCTACAGCATGGTGGTGTAGTTTCTGAATGAGGCCTTTCCATTAGCTCTGAGCTTTTAATCGTGTCTCCTACATATCTGACAGATGAAGGTAAACTTGATGAGGCCCTGTACTTTTTTTTCATATCTTCCTCTGAATAAAACACCAAGCCAGGTACAGTGACTTGTGGAGGGTTATTTCCAAAACTAGTTTCCCTTAACTTTGATGTGGGCATTTTCATATTACTTGTTAATTCAACCTGGTTAACAATGCAAACATTTTCAACTCCTTGGAACAAACTTTCCTTTGCAAGGTTTTCGATCAAAGACTTACTGAAATTAGTACACTGGTTTATCATTGTGCCAATGATTTCACTTGCTACAATGTTCTCTTTCGATACACTAACTGAAGTTGGTTCCACCTGGCTTATTTCTTTGTCTAGCTTGTTCTTAATTACACCAAGCATGTCACTGACAATATTAGCAGCATATGTAAGTAATTCTGAGTGGAATGAATGAACTTGTAGAAAGATATTCTCTATGTTTTCATTTGAAATAATAGTATTTGACTTGGATTCATCAGAAAACTTTTTCAGCGGTTGTAATTTTGGCAGCATCTTTTTGCTTAACAGTCTCTGTTGGACAGGAAAAAAGCTTTCTATAGGCATTTTCACTAGTTCAGAAAATTCATATTTAGAGATATGTTTAAACTGCAAGTCCACAAATGACTCTAACACGTTCAAAACTCTTTCAACAATCTCTCGAACAATTCGGTTGCTAGTGTCCAAGGAAATCTGGTCTTTCATCATGGTGTTACAGATAGTTACACTGCCGAGGATGTGTCTTGTTGAAGAACTATATTTAGTCTTAGCACTATTGTGTTCTTTCCTGCTTGCTGGAGTTTCTTTACTATCTGGGGTGGACATCTGGGTCAAGAAACACACCTGTAATTTTTCAAAAAGCATTTCAACAATTTCCCTTCCAAACATATTAATTTGTGCTTTGGAATCCTCAGCTCTAGTAGAAGCTCCTTTAAAGCGACTATAGAACCTGCTTTCACAAGATTCAAGAGTTGGCAAATCTAAAAGTGAAAGAGAATGTTCTAATTCTTTTGCATTTATTGAAATTTCAGTTAAAACATTCTCCGCTATCATCAATAGCTTATATTTTTCATTATCCATGTCATTTGATTCTGTTTGCCATTTATCAAACATTTTTTTAAATATACCTTCTTTAGGAAAAATCTGTTCCAGCTGTGAAGAAACATTCTCTAAGAAAAAACGTGCTTGTGGTTTGGCAAGGGACCCTGCACCTATATTCCCCTGTGAAAGTTTGAGATCATCCAGATGTGAGAATTTGATTGGATGAGTCAAACTGTGGTTATTTGTAGAATATAATCCTTGGAAAACTGTATTAACTATTTCACTTGCTGCTGTGACTTGATCAGATGGTGAAGCTTTTATATTTACTACTGCTCGATTTTGCTTCACCTTTTCAAATTCTTTCATAATTGTTTCTAGGATATTTCTTATTATGTCCTTGGAATACATTTTTAGTTCTGAAGTGGATAATTTCATTTCCAGTATGTTCTTGGCATCTCCTGTTGATAGGATATGTGGCAGCCCAATGGCAGTCTTGGACCGGCTGCATCTTGGAGTCATCTCTCCAGGATATAACCTTGTCTTACTCTTGACCTTAGCACCACTAGGTCCCTGGTGTGGTTTTGTTCTAAATTTAGGCAGAGAGGTAGTTTTTGATCTTGCTTTTAAGCTTGCTTTAAGACCTGGTTTAGGGCTGCCCTTAGGACTGACTTTATAACTGTGTAATCTTCGAGTACGCATGTCTTCAGAGAATGAGCTATCTTCTAGATGCAGTGAGGCGAAATTTTTGATCTTATTGAGAACCATTTGGACTAAATCTTTCCCCACTTGCAGTAGAGGATATTGCAAAAAGGTGTTTTCCATGAAACAGACATTCTGACTGCTTGTATAAGAATAAACCTGTGGTGTAACATATCTAGGGGGATCACTTCCATTTCCTGCTTGCTTAGTTCTCCTGAAGCATGATGGTTTCACTGGCAATGCATCATTGTTGTCTGATGGTTTCATTGGCAATGCATCATTGTTGTCAGATGCTTCTACTTCTTCCCTTTTATTACTTTCACATATGCATTTCACAACTACTGAGTACATTTTCTCCAAAACATTTTCAACTATATCAGTTGCTACGCTGTTGGTATGTGATTGAAAAGAGTTTTTTTGTGTTATGTCTGATGTTCTAATTTTAGAATTAGACATAAAATTGGGGGTTTCCTTAAATGGAGATAAATGGTCTATGATTCCCATTACTCTTTGATACACCTTATTTAAAATTTCTTCTACGGCACTGATCAATGCACTTTTTTCTTTCTGTCTTGGTTCTTCACTTCGCATAAATATTTCTTCCAAAACCATTCTCTGGTTTTCCTTTTCTGATGTTATTTGATTTTTTTCTAATGGATAATTTGAAAACAGAGATAGTTCAGTGTTATTTTTCGTCTTTTTTTGTTCCAACAAGATTTCATTTGATATAGTCAGTTGCGAAAACAAGTTAGTCTTCTGTTTTGAGTAAAAACTAATTTCCTTTGCAGATCTTTTATTGTACAAAATCTTTAAGATACTGTTGACAATTTTGCTCATAACAATGTTTTCTTGTAATGAAATACTGTTTGAATATGGACACATCTTTTGGATTTCTAAATCTAAATCATTTTTAATAAGCTTCAAAATGGCACTGGCAATGATGTCAGCATATTCCTTAAGACTAGCTTGTGATACATGAATTTTGGATCCACGTTTTTCTCTGTAATTGGCAAAAGTGGAATCTGTGAACTCTTGGCTAAAAATGGTTTCAGCTGATATCTTCAGGACATTCACATCTGATTCCACCTGGCTTGATTCATAAAAGACTCTATTATGTTTACAATTTTCCAGTTCTGGGCTAACAAATGACTTTTCTTTAGATTGGAAAGCAAGACTAATTAATGAATCTATTCTCTCTGTGGCAAAAGATTCTAACCTATTGAAAATACTTTTAGTAATGAGGTTTGCATTTTCCTCACATGGGTCAGGAGCAGATTTCTTGCTATCTTCTTTCTCTACTACAGTTACCTGATTATCAGCAGCATAAGATGATTTCAGATTTCCTGAAAATGGAAAACTTTCTGTTTTTATTTCATTTTTAGAGTCCATAAGAGCAGGCTGTTGACACTCCCCTTTTGGAAGCATATCACAAAAGGTCAGGGGCAATCTTGCAGAAGTAGAATCCTTTGCATTTATGCCAAGCATAACAGCAGAATTGAGATTATGAAGGACAATATCCACTATATCATTAGATATCATAACAACATCTGATTTAGGAACTGAAAGTTTTGGAATAACTTTATTTGTGTTCTCAATGAACATTTCAGAATTTGCTTCTGAATATTTACTATCTATTTTACATTTCAGAGTAGATACGGCAAGTGAGAGATTATTTTGATCCAGTGTTTTTTCATAAATGTCACATAAGATACTTTCTATAGTATCCTGTATTTGGAATTGAAGTAGTTTTCGATATTCAGTCTTATTGAACAGCTTTTCAGTAATACCTTCTTGCTGATCTAAATTGATCTCTTTGTTAGAAGTCATTTTTTCACATCTATTGTTAGAAGATACAATATCTAACACTGTGTTAACAACTTGACTTGCAATCCTTTCAGAAACTACAATATTATGAGTTAAAAAAGGACTTTCTATTTCTTTATCTAACTCATGTTTTATTCCTTGTAAAATTTTTCTAGCCACTTCTGTTGCGTAAGTATTTAATTTAGACAAAGGCAGTTGACACATGGAGTTGGTTTTTACTGACTTAATATGATCCACTGAGGAAGAAAAAAATTTATCATCAGAACATGAATCTTTGGTTGATAATACTTTGCTTAATGCACTCTTATCTTGCTGAATAGGAACTGTAAAACTGACTTGGGGACAAAAAAGAGATTTTACTTTGGAAGTAGCAAAAGTTTCTATATTTGTTAATACTGTATGTACAATATCTTCAGCTACATTTACTTTGGCCTGTTTATCAACACTGAACTCAGAGTGAAGAGTATGTGGATTTCTGTCCAGCACAGTAACAGAGGACTTTCTTCCATTTGTGTGTTCGTGAAAAGAAACGTTTGCTGAAAAGGTGATAGATTTATACCTATTTTTACCTGTGTTTTTCTCTGACATGGCAGCTGAATAAAGCTTATGAAATACAGTTCTGACAAAATCATCAGCAACAATGGATACATCTGCTTCAGACACTAAAGGACCCATCATTTTATCCATGAATTGAACAGAAGTTTGGGCAACTGGTTCATCAACACTGTGCAGGATGCTACTTAAATGAGAGTGGGGGAAAGGAAGCAGATTTAATTGGTTGACTAAAGCATTTTGAAAAATTTCATTTAAAATATTTTTTATAATGGGCACGATTGGAGATGTCTGTGGTTCTTTCAGTTCCACTTCAATTTTGTTTAAGGTTTTTTCTAGAACCCACTGTTTAAGAGAATCTGGTTTAGTTTCTTCTACTGGTGGTGTTTCTGCTCCAACGGATTCTTTCTCTGTATGTGCTGCATCTTCTAGAAACGAATCTGATTCAGCGCCTCCAGGAAGAAAATTTCCATAGGCTGGCCTATATCGATAAGTTTCAATGCCTCTTTCTTCAGATTCAGTTTCATTAAGAATATCTGAGGATACTGCATCTAAAATTAAATTGACTACGTCTGTTATTGTTTGTTTCTCAGGTGGTGGACTTTTTACACTTGTCCTCAAATCTGATGACCTCACATTTAATTCAGTTTGAATAGCCTTCAAAAGAGCACTTGATAACTTCTTTGCATGCATGTATAAAGCAGACTGTAGTAGCTCTTCACGTATGTCTGTGAAAACACTGGTACTCTCACATTTCCAGTCCATTTTATTGCTTTGCTTGTTTCCATCATTCACAGTTCCCAGAGTTTCTAAATTTCCATTGGCAAATCCTTCCAGTTTATCAAAAACCATATTAAGAATATCTGAAGCCACAGCTTTCAGTTTCTTTGGATGCATTTCTCTTATGATCCCTGTTTTGGAAGCCACAGAAGCAGTACTTTTTGCTCTGTTAGTAGACATTTCTTTATTACCTTCCTGAATCATCCTGGACGCTAAATTGGAGATTATGTCAGTGCATTTGGCCATTTCCGCAATAATTGAAGCAAATGATAAGCTGTCAATATCAAGATACTCTGAGGCAGCTTTAAATCCAGAACTTACAAAACTGCTATCTGTGTCAACACTACATAATTTTGCAAGGATATATTCCAAAATTGTCTTGGAAATGAGTTGAATATTAGACTTCAAATCAGTGGCTGTTTGCTGAGTCTCTTTAGTCTTCTCTCTGTTTTGCTTACTACACACTGGTTGAGAGTGACCATGGGCTCCTATGAGCTTGCATAACATTTCATATAGGGTTTCCCCAATGCTATCTAACACCTCCAATCTGGCATTTTCTTTGAGATCCTTTCCACTAAAGACACTATGGAGTGTACATGGAATACCTAAACATTTGTGAATTTTAGGAGGAACTGCCTCATGCACACTAGGAAGATGAGAGGAAACAGACTTTTTATCCTGCCTACTTGGCAAAATGTTTTGTTTATCAATGTTGTCAGATTTATATGAGGTCTCGGGCCTTGGCTTATCTGTAGGAGGTAGAACATTGCTTTGATCTGCATTTTGGCTTGATAACATATTGCAAATACAAGTTATTAAAGGACTTCCCATAACATCATCATTGAGATTTGTGACAAGAGATTCTAGTTTCTTATCAGTGTCGGCAAAAAAACCTTTACCTATAAAGGTTTTGGTAGAGTCTGTCTCCCTATGATTTAGGTTTTTCTTATTGAGTTCCAGTTCATTTTGTATAGCATGCAAAACAATGTTTACCACTTTAGTTGTATAATCACTGAGTTGAGACCGTAATGAAGATTGCTTGGTAAGTGAAGTTTTGAAGCCCATTTGCAGTTTTGGACAAACAAATAACTTCAGTTTTTTAAAAACTGTACTAATAATTTTATCATTAATGTCATCTACAGATTCAGGATCACTTTTTCCAGATTCTAACCAAGAAGGCTTTGGAGGATCTATGTTGAGTGAAGATAAATATTTCATTTTCTTTTCACTGTCAAACCATACTTTAAATGGCTTTGTATTTGGTGCTTTTTTGGCCATGTGAGGAGTGTCAGAATTGTCTAGAGAAGTCTGATGAATTGATGATGAAATGGAACCTTTGGTGGTACTGGTAATGTAGCTTGAAGCCTTATGAAGTATATTTAACACAGCATCTGTTATTTCTTGAGCCACTGTACTGATTTCTGATGCAGAGAACATCTGGTCCGTCCATTCTTGATGTGACAGTCCTTGAGGTTTTCCTGAGGAAAGAACCGAAGATTTTTTTTTTTTACTGTCTAACTGACCAGGAGGAAAAGAGGATACGTCCTTGAGTGTTTCTGTTAAAATACTTCTCACTATGGTTTCTAAAGCCTTTTGTATTTGATGCTTTTGATCTTGGCTGAAAATCAAAATGTCTTTATTCAAACAGGGTTTGTCCTTTGAAATATCCTCATTATTAAAAGATGGTAGGTCAGTCTTTAATCCCCAATCACAAAATGCAACTTTGCATTGAGAAGCAGGCTTTGTAGGTGGTTTGGTATTTGTTTTGTATTCAAAACAGGTGCTTCCCTTGGTAAATGAATGATCAAGAATCTGTTCTTGTAACTTTGCTTTTTCATCTTTGAAAGATGAGTCAAGCACATTTTTCACAATTTTGTCTATTTCTTCATTATCATCTTCAGAATAAAGGACCATGCCAGGAACATTAACAGGTGAAAATGGTCTTCCAGACCTATGACCATTAGATAATCTAGTGCCAGTGAGTCGGTACTTTTCTTCAGTGTTAGAAGGATTTCTTGGTCTGGAGCGTTTATTCTTCTGAACACCTCCTTTTACTGACTCCTGGTGGAGCTGAGCGAAGATATCATCGAGCAGCTGAAGGAATACCACCGTTTCTTCAGATGCAATCAGTCTCTCATTATTAAGTTCAGTTTGTACATAACCCAGTATAGCACTGATTGCTTCCTCTACATAACCAACCAAAGAGGATTGGGAACAAATAGTTGACACTAAATTTTGTATTTCTTCTTTGACAATTAAATTGGCATTATCAGGTTCAATACTAGATTGCTTTTTGCCAGCTCTTTGAAGAAACATATATGTTGGATCTATCATATATTGCTGATAAGAATGTTTAGTTGAATCTTCAAGATGAGGAAGTTCATTTTGCTTACAAGATGCAAGAGTCATCAGCTTTTCTAAAATGGCACGCACCATATCCTCTGCAATATCACACATGGGTTCCAAAGTATAAGGCAGTGAAGCTTCTAAAGGTTTTTCATTTGATAAAGTAAAATATTCACCACTGGTTGTTGGGTCTGGTTTAATGTGGACTGACAAGTCTTCTTGTGAAAACATCTCAACACATTTTTTCTCAACTGCAGACTGTAGCTTCTCAAGCATATTTTCCACAATCTCAGCAGCTACTGAGCAGATATCAACATGAGAGAGTAAGTCTCTTTTGTCAGCTTCACACTGGTCAACAAAAACTTCGGCAGTAACAGAAGAAAGCGAGGGAATGGCCTGGGTTAAATCAGACATAATTTCTTGAAAAATGTTTTCTAAAATCAATTCAGTTTCCCCTTTTAAGTGACATTTAAAATTAACAAAAACATTCTTTAAATTCTTTATCTCATTTATGGCTTTTAATTTTTGATCAGAAAATAGGGGATTCTCTAAGCTGTCTGTTTCAGTGGTAGCATCCTTAGATATTTTTGTGCTTGTTTCAGATGATGCCAAAAGGTGACTATCAGATTTACAGCTCCTAAGCTTAGGGTATGCATATATCATCCTGGATTTATTGACTTTAAGTTCAGATGTCATAGACTGCCTTTTCCTGTGATACGTTTTTTCAGTAAGTGTTCTTTCCATATGAGCAGAAGGAGGGTTTAAAGGTACATTAGGTTGCCTTACTGACACGTCACTTGCCAATGTATAAGGTTCTGTCTGAAATGTTTTAGTTGTTGCAGATGTGTAGCTTCCATATGTAAACTCTTCACTGCAAGTGCTACAGAAACTTGAACTATCTGAAGAGAGGGCAGAATCATCAGACACTGGGTATGTATTATTTCGCAACCTTTCTTCATACTTTGTGATGGCTGGGTATAATATACTAGTCACTGTAGCCACAACCCAGGTCATTATATTCTGAATTATACTATTCAGTTCTTCAGAAGTTACCTGAAAAGGAAGTAAGCAAGGGTGAAGAGAAAAATCATATAACAATTTATTCTGGGACAGAAGTTAACATTTAATTCTTCATATCAAGTAATGCATAGCTGGAATATCATCAGGGTTTTTAAAGAGAACACAGAAAAGAATATCTTTAAAATTTCAGATTAATTTCAACTTCATTTATTCTGTACTGTGGCAAAAATATTTTTCCATACCTTTTTTAGCATTTATTGTTGGGGATAAATGACTTTGGAGATAAATGACTTTGGGGTAAAATAAAAATAAAACATCACCAAACTGCTGTCTAAGCATACAGCAAACAAGTACTTTGAAAGAAGAAATGTGGTGTTTATGACCCAGTAAATTTTTTTTAAAGGTATTCCAGACTATTTCTAATAAACTGTTTGCCAAAATAGATGCAGACAGATATGAGGTTGCCTTCAGAGCTATCTGTTTAGCTGGGCTGAGAAGGTGGAAAACAAACCATCCCTGCTCTCCCCATTGTCTGCTGTAGGGGTGAGTCTGTGTCTCTATATATGGAAATGTTTGCAGCTAACTATTAAGCAACAATAAAAGCTAATGCTTTATGGGGACTGAATGATTTTGAATCTAACAAAAGGTTATTATTGCAAACTGTCTTAGACAGGAAGCCTGAAGACAGATCATGACGTGAAAGACAAATTAGATAAGAAAGAACAGTCACGTTAGAACTAGGACCCAGGAGGGCTGAGGAAGCACAGAGAAGTTGGGAGTATTCCTCATTTTGAGCCAGAAGTAAACCCAGGGGACCAAGTTTCCTTAGTGGTCAATGATGTTGTCACAGATTAAAACAGACCAAAGGTAGAAGCAGGATGCACCTGCATAATGTTATATACCTCTGCTTACATATTACAAATATGTTTTGGGTTTGCAAAAATTCTCTTGCCTATAATAAAATAGAAACCTGTTTTTAAATTGTTATGTTCCTAAATATACAGGCTGTAAACACAAATAAGTGGCAGCAAAGCCTATGAGGCTGATATGTTGGCAGCAGAGTTAACAACAGGATTCCTGTAATGGGGCTGTCAGCATCCAAGACATTGCCTAAGTTAGCCTGAAATTGTTCAGGTTTAAGGCCAACATTCAAAGAAAAGTCAACACCTTGCTGTATGTGGCATACTCTTTCTTGACCCATTTGAGAGTATAAAAAGATGATTTTTTTCTCTAATTCCCAAACCTTGTAATAATTTTTTTTACCTGTTGTACAGACAATGGCTATTTGTTTGAAAAACATATTTTGGAATGACAGTATATGTTGTAAATGCTTATTTTACATACACACATCCTAAATCAAACATTTCTAAGAATAAGACCCAAATTTTAAGAGAAGAAAATTGTTCTAAATCCACTCCAAAACATATAAAGAAAGACATCCAATATGTATTATTTTTCTTATTACCAGAGATAATAAGCAACGGTCTTACATTATTACTCTTATGCTAGGTGTGAGAGTTTCCAACCTTGATATATGAAATAGAGACATGCCTAAAGTTTTTATGCAGTGTGATATGGTAAACAAAATCTTATTTTTCAATTGATTTCCCTTTTAATATTAAATTGAGGACTATCCTCTTGAATCAAAGCTTTTGTATTTGCTGCGTATTCCAGGAACTGAACAGTCATCTGTGTGACAGGTAGAGTCTGTACTGCTCCCCTCAATCCCTTTATCGTTTCTGACTGGGCTGTCTAGATCCAGTGTTGGGTTCATAAAATATACCCTCTTATCTTTGCCTGTTCTAAGTCTCACCTTATAGGTGACCAGATACCTTCTTATGTGACCTTCTTAGGTGATCAGGTCCTTTCCCAAAAAAAACTTTTAGCAACAGATCCAGGCATCCTGGCTCACCTGCAGCTGAGTTCACCAGCCGGGTCTGCAAAGGCATGTCACTTAATGGCTTCCCATGATCGAACAGATTTGTAGTATTTGATGCTGTTTCTGTGATGGCTAGGTTCCTTAATTACCCCTCCCCCCCCCCATTCTATTCCCATGGACCCCATCCTGAAGGGCCAACATTATCTTTTGATAATAACTTTGGAGGACTGCAAAACCAAGACTCAATTAAAAGTGAAAGAAAATAAGAAAAAAGGGCAAAGAGGGAGACTGACTTAATAGAAACTTAATATAAATGTCTGACTGACTTAATATACATATTATCTGACTGACTTAATATAAACACCTGATTCATAAATTATCTGACTCAGATTTTTTTCTATTATGATACATTAGAAAACTATCATTAATATGTTGCTTTATCAGTGGATTTTATGATACATACTTTTCTGTGCAAGCAATTTTGTAGGAGGTTCTGTTGTCTGTAAGGTCAAGAAAGGTAGATCATTTAGTTATTGCTTAGGGTCAAGGATTTATGTAACTTTTTCTGAAAGTCCTAATCATTGAATCAGTTTCTCCTCTTACTGTCTCATAGTTTTTCTACAGAAATTCAAAAGAAAGAATAAACTTTATTTTTGTTTAACTGCCCTATTTCACCTCCTCTTTAGATAACGGCCCCTGTATACAGAAATATGCTTTATTATTCAGAGGAGCAGAATTATTGCGGCTACATAAACAGTTTATCTAGCTGATAGTACTGCTTCTAACATACGTTAGCCATGCCTGCTTTGTGGTTCATTTAGGAAAGACATAAGGTTGGAGGGAGGGGGTATGCTAGTCCCTTCTGTTTGCTAAAAGCGATGATGGAGTAGCAAGATGTCTGACCAAAGTTTTCTGACAATCATTTATTCAGCCCTTTAAATCTCCTAGTCCTACCACCCCCCACATCCTACAGTAGGGAGGGAATAGGTGGATGATTATTCAATAACTGTGGGTTAAAAAACAATAGATTTCTAGCCATTCAATACCATTATTCGATATCAATTTAGATGTTGCTCTTTTCTGTATATGTATTCTAGTAAGTGTTCTAATTAGTATCATTTATTATCACACACTAAACAAAATAAAAAAAATAGCTTTCTGAATTGTAACAAATAAAAGAACAATTCAATCATGAAAGTCATAGTATATAAAAATAGTTAATAAAACAAGGCATCAGACTACAGTTCTGAATTATTTTCATATATTTTTGCAAACATGGACACTTTGTCTTCACCTGACTTTTTTAAAGGAAAAGTGGCATTCCTTTTTCATTTTTTCTTGGTGTACAATTTACCTTATCAAATTTACTTTTTTCCCCAAGGTTTAAAATTTTATTTTGAGAGACAGCCAGACTGAGAATTACTTCCTTACTTTTTGGCTCACTGGTTTCAGCTCAGAAATAGAGCTAGGTAGCAATAGTTCTTCCTCAGTCTAGTACCTTTTTTAAAATATGGAAACTGGAGCATGAAAACTAATATTAGTGATATGTTCTTTATCCTTCAGCCTCATTTTTTTTCCCAGTATCTGGTTTCATAGTCTCTCTATTCTAGATATTCTGCAATCTAACTCTCCCAGATTCACTTTTCTAGTCTCTCTAACTTATGCCATAGGAACAAAATGGAACTCAATGAGTCCTATATACTCTTTGATACCTCTCCCTGACAAGGTTTCTGCCCAAAGGCATGCACTTAGGTAAAAACAAAGAGCAAAAGACCTAAGAATGGAACTAACCAAATAAATGAGAAAAGCTTCATTGAAGACTACTATAAATCTGTTGCAATAATCAGATGAAGAATAACGTCAACTAAAATGGTAGAGTAAGTAAAGAGCTCTGAAAATTCATTCCTCAATAAATGCAATGAGTAAACTGGCAAAACCCATCAAAATAATTTTTTTTTCAGAAATGTGGAAATTAACCAAAGGCTTGCATAAATCCAGAGTACTTAATTAAAAAAAGTCTGAATCTTGGTAAGAACACTGAGCTCTGTGGTGCTTTAACTTGCCCTATTCCAACCTCCTCTCACCAACATACAGCGATCACAGTGAAAACCAGCAGCATGGAAGTCACCAAAAGTGGCAGAACAGGGTTGCAGCACCTTAAAAACCTCATTCCCAGAAATGTCATTATTTAACCTGTCTGACAATTCCCTGGAAGACCCCAGTTGCAAGGCTGTCTTTACATGAACTGATTCTGAGCTCACAAGTAAGAAAAAACTTTTCCCCAGGGTCATCTGTCAAAAACATTTAGAGGCAATTGTTTAACTTTATATCTACCTGGGGCAAACAACAGGCTAAGCAAAAAGTTTAAAAGGAAAATTTGGGAAATCAGGTGTCCATAGGGGCTTTGAGAAGCTATGACACATTCCAGGAAATACTGAAAATCATGCACATGTGTAGGGCTGTGTGCATGCCCAGTGCTGCGCACATGATCAGGAAAGACCTGAAAGTAGGAAGTGAAGGATAAGGCAGAGCTGTCAACTGCCTGGCTGAGTGTTGAAGCACGCCCCAACATACACACAGAGCCCATTGGCAAAGACTAGGAGACCTATTAACCAGTTGCCATTGAATTGACTTGTACTCATGGTGACACCATACATGTCAGAGTAAAACTGTCCCTCATAGGGTTTTCAATGGCTGATTTTTTGGACATAGATTGCCAAGACTTTCTTCAGAGACGCCTTTGGGTGGACTTGAACTTCCAACTTTTCGTTAGCAGCTGAGTGCCTTAACTGTTTTTACCACCCAGGGAGGAAGACCTATTAGTTCCAAGTATTTAAGGACTTATCTGTCCAGTCATTAGCTGACCATTAAGCTAACTAAGCAGAGACCTCAGTGGCCACAAAAAAGGATATAGACTTATAGAATTACTTCAGAAAAATGGGAAAACAAATGAATACTGCAACAACAACAAGCAGCAACAGTAAACCTTGTGAGGGGCAGAATCTGATTTCCAAAGTTGCTTCATCACACTGTTTAAATTGTTCAATTTTTCAGTCAAACACCTGCAAAGAAAGAAGAAAGCATGGCCCATACAAAGAGAAAAAAGTTTCAACAGAAACTGTGAGGAAGAACAGATATTGGGCTTACCAAAGACTTTAAGTCAGTTATTTTAAATACCATTTAAATCTAAATTTAATTTCTATTCAAAGTAAATTTTCCAAACACAATGGAATTCAATTAGAAATCAGTAACAGATAGAAATTTGGGAAATTCTATACCAGATAGAAATTTGGGAAATTCACAAATACATGGAAATTAAATTCACAAATGTGGACTTAAATAATCAATTGGTCAAATAACAGTGGAAATAAGAAAATACTTAAAATGAATGAAAACAAAAATACAATATACTAAAACTTGTGGGATGCAGTGAAAAGAGTTCATGAAAAGAAATTTAAGAGCTGTAAATGCTTACATTAAAAAAAAGAAGGAAGATCTCAAGTCACTAACCTAACCTTTCACTAGAAGAAGAAGAGAAAAATTAAACCTAAAGAAAGCAAAAGGAAGGAAATAATAAAGATTAGAGTGGAAATTAATGAAATGGAAACACCATAGAGAAAAATCAATTAGGCCAAAAGCTGATTCTTTGAAAAAAATCAAATTTAACAAAATCCTTCATGAACGCTCCAAAAAACAGAAGAGGAAGGTACATTTACAAACTTACCCTATGAGTCTAGTATTACTCTAATACCAAAACCAGAAAGAAAGACATCTCAAGAAAAGACAAGTAGAAAACTACAGCCAGCCTAACATTCCTTATGAAGATAGATGCAAAAAACCTAACATTTCCTGATTTCAAATCTTACTGCAAAGTTACAGTAATCAAGACTATATGGTACTGGCTGGAATAAAGACAGACATACAGATCAATGGAACAGAACTGACAGTCCAGATATAAACCCATATATTTATGGGCAATATATTACTGACAAGGGTGTCAAGATAACTCAATGAGGAAAAAATAGTCTTTTTAACAAATGGTGGGCGGGCAAGTATATATCCACATGAAAAAGAATGAAGTTGGACCCCTATCTCACACTATATACAAAAATTAACTCAAAATGGATCAAAGACCTAAATGCAAGAGCTAAAACTGTAAAACTTTTAGAAAAAAAGCATATGTATATATCACTGTAACTGAATTAGGCAATAGCTTCTTACAATGACACCTAAAGCACAAGTAACCAAAGAAAAAATAGATAAATTGGACTTCATCAAAATATATTTTTGCTTCAAAAGACACCATCAAGAATTTGAAGGGACAACCCAAAGAAAAGGGAAAAAACTGCAAATCATATATCTGATAAGAATTTCATACCAATCTAATACAAAGAACTCTTAAAACTCAACAATATAAAGACAAACCAATTAAAATATAGGCAAAGGATCTGAATAAATACATCTCCAAAGAACATATACAAATGGCCAATAAGTCACTAGGGAACTACAAAGGAAAATGACATTGAGATGCCACTGCATATCCACTAGTATGGCTATAATAAAAGATAGATAATAACAAGTGTTAGCGAGGATGTGGAGAATTTGGAGCCCATCTACATTGCTGACAGGAATGTAAAATGATGTGCAGCTGCTTTGGAAAACTGTTTGACAGTTTCTCATAAAGTTGAACATAGTTACTATATGACTCAGAAATTCCATGCCTAGGTATATACCCAAGAGAATTAAAAACACATGCTCACATAAGACATGCACATAGTAGCATTACTCATATCCAAAATGTCCATGAACTGATGAATGAATATACAAAATGTGATATATCCATGCAATGAAATATTATTTGGCCATTAAAAAAAATGAATTACTGATACATGCTACAACATAGATGAAACCTGAAAATATGTTAAGTGAAAGAAACAGCCAAAAAAAGTCCACATATTGTATGATTCTTTTTATATGAAATATCCACAATAGGGAAATCTACAGAGACAGAAAGTAGATTAGTGATTGCTTAGGGCTGGGAGTAGGGATGTTGGAAGATAGGCTAGAACTAAGGGGTACAAGGTTTCTTTTCGTGGTGATAAAAATGTTCTAAAAATGACTATGGTAATGGTTGCACGACTTTGTGAAAATGCTAAAAAAGAAAAAAACATTAAACTATACTTTAAAAAGGGAATTTTATGGTATGTGACTTATTTTTCAAAAAAAAGAAATAATCAGATATAGTATGGGATTTGCAATAAAGTAGCACAAAACCTTGTTGGAGTTAATTGGGCAGAAACGTAAATGAACTAGATGTTATACTGGGAAGTTCCACCATAATTCCAGGAGTGGCACGATAGTTCAATATAAATAGCTTGTTGACTCTCAATGATCCAATTTTCGCTGAGGTCTGAGAAGGCTCTCCTTAATAGGTTTCTAATTATGTTGACATTACTAACATAAAACATCTACATTTTAGGTTGTCGAGCCAACTCTCATTAATGCCAATTAGTTGAGAAGCCCCAAGAGCAGGATACAGTTTTTCAGTATAAGCTGCCATATCATAAAAATATAAATAAAATTTTCTACTGTTGACCTTCTCCTTCATACAACCTTACTTTTAGTTAGAAAGATATCTGGATGATTTCTTCAACTACTTGCCCAACTACCAACTGAAGATCAATACAGTAAGAATAAATCAGTTCTACCTGCCTAATAGTTCCAAATATGTAATTTCTCAATCTAAGTGGTAGCTATCTATATGTAATTCAGGCCTAATATCTTGGGGGGATGTTCAACACCTTCTGATCTTCCATGACACATAGTTCATTCTACTACCTAATTAGTTTATTCATTCCTGTGCCTGGAATGGGATTTAAAAAGTAACACCTCTGTATCTTAACACTGGCATTCCAGTTTGAAAGCCAATGGCTGGGTAGTTCTATGAGTGGCCTACACTTAACAATTTGATTGAAATTTTCCCCTGCTCCCAATTCTCCCTCTGATATTATCTGTGATTGCCTATCTCCTGTAATGCATTCTTAAACACATCTAAGGTCAGGGGCATAGTTTGCTTCATCTTGGTATCTGCCTCACATCTAAGCACTATGCTTTGAATATAGTAGGTTCTCAATAAATGTCTGATTAATAAATTATCATTTAAAGTGTTTTGCATCTGTACATACTTATCTCTAACCTAAAATGAAGGCTTTGTGCAGGCCACTATTCACTAATAGACTTCCAAGACTGGCTCCTAGTTTCTTGACCTCAATTGTCATATATACTGTTATCACAGTTATTTATCATGTGTGCTAATTTGACCCTAACACATCCCTCCTGTAACCCAGTAACTAAACTACTAAGTTTGTAACTACAGTCTTCAGGGTGGCAGACTTGCTGCCTTCTTTAGTGTTACTCCTTACATCTCCCATCTCAACCATATAAACTTACTCATTATCTAAATGCAATGCTTAATTACTGCAACTCATTTATCACCACTGTTATCATATTTGCTTCCTCTTTATTCACTTGATTCTGAATTTCCATCTCTGTCTTACTGTATACATCTTTTGTATAAGCAGAAAAACAAAACAGAGAACTGATGAAGATGATGGGAGACCAGGTGAATGGTGGAACAGATGTGATGTTTCCACAGTAAAACCTTATGAAACATGGAGTTAAATCAGAACAAGAGGAATATGACATTGGTGTGACAGACATGAGTCAGACAACAAAGTACCGTTTGCTGTGTTTTGTTTGTGCTCTGAACTGGTGTAAGGCAAGGTGCTATTTAAAGTATGCTATTTTGGGGGAGGAGTGGTGGAGAAGGCTCCAGGTCATGCAGAATGTGAGCTAAGATATTTAATGAAAGAGTATCCAAAATATTTCCTATGAAAAGATTCAAGTGACTCTAATTCTGTAGTCTCTGGTGGAGAAAGATGAAGAGGCAAGAATTAACACTTCATGAGCCTCCTCTAATCTTCATTATAAACATGAAGGCATTTATATTTTCCACAAATAAAATGTGTATTTTATAATCATCATTCTTTTATCTTTTCCAATTGCTTTCAACTGGACTAGTCAGTTTCCTTCCTCCCGCATCTATTACACTACTATATATCCTATGAATCCTCAGGAAGTTAGACAAACTGACATCCTAAAGTAAAGATCTTTCCTCCAGGGAGCTTGGTCTGAATATGTGAATATCATTTCCCACTACACAATGCAACCATTTTCATAGCAACTTGAGGTTTTATCCTGAACCTCTCTGGTTTGTTGATTTTTTTTTTTTTTTAAGATAATGAGTTGAGTCTAAAATAATAGTCTTTCTTCCTCCTCTCAAGTTCAGCAAAAAAACAGATACACCAACAGAATGCGTGATCACCAAGATTTGAAGAATGAAATGTCCCCAGGCCCTGCAAAAATATGTTATCCAAAAGTCTGCGTATTTCCATCACTAGAGACTGATGATTTTGGATTGCAATGCAAATACCCTTTAGAAAGGTAATAACAGATTAAGTCATTAATGTTATATAGTAAACCACCTCATCATCCTTAGAAAGCCAATAACCCCAAAAGGCCTATGGAATGATAAATATTTCAAAAGGGAGACAGACAAAGGGATAAGTCATTATACTGGGATGGGACCTCAGGAGGAGAGATCATGGTGGGGTTATACTTGCAAGTAGACTCGAGACCTGGAATACAAGGGAAGTATAGAACCACAAAGGGAGAAGGAGGAAGAAGAACACTGTGATTGTTAAGGTTGTGTGTCAACTTCACAGGGCCATGACTCTCAGTGGTTTGGCAGTTATGATTTAGTTTAGCAGCTGTGTAATGATGTAATCACCTCCATGATGAGATCTGATATAATGTGATCGCCTCCATGATGGGATCTGCTGTGAGCAGCTAATCAGTTGGAAGGGAGTTTCCTTGGGGGTGTAGCCTGCATCCAATATATGAGTGGACTTTCTGGCAAGACTCAGGGGATTTTGCTCACTCTGGATCTTGCAGCTGGCTCCTGTTTATCTGCCCTCTGGTTCTTGAGACTTGAGCTAGCAGCTTACCTGCCCATCTTGGAATTTGTCAGCCTCCACAGCCTGTGAGCAAGACACCTCCTCTCTGACCTGTTGATCTTGGGTTCACCAGCCCCTGCAGCTACGTGACTTACAGACTTGGGAATTTCCAGCCTCTAGAACTGTGTGGGCCATATCCTTGATATAAATATCTCTCTCTATATATATTTATATGTTCCTCTGGTTTTGCTTCTCTAGAGAACCCAGCCTAAGACAAACATGAATGATTAATGTTGTCTACTTTACAATTAAATTTAGTGCTGAAAATTTGCTCAATCCATGTAGAATTAGGAGAATAGAAGTGAGTAAACTGTGTAATTATTAAAATATAATTTACAACTACACATTATTAATTTTCTTATATACTTACGTATTAGAGAGATGAGAAGAAAAAATATCCTGGGCTGGAGTGTGAACCTGAGGTCCTATTTACCAGAAAAAGAAAATTATAATTAGTTTGCATCTTTCCATAGCTCTTTGTAAAACGGCAATTAACATCTTTTAATTGGTCTTTATTTTCTGCATTCACTGCCCTGTTCAAAAAATGCCAAGGACTCATCATTACCATAATGAAGTCCAAATTCTTTAGCAAGGCATAAAATATACCCTAAGACTTGACATCCATGCCTACCTCTCCAGTGTCATCCTTGGCTAGTCTTCCATATGCATGGTATGGTACAGAGACAATGAATAACATGGAATTCCCTTATATCATGTTTTTTTACGTCTATGGGCCATTGTTTCTGCCATTTCCTTTGTCTGAAGCACCCTGTACCTTCTTTAACTTCCTGCTCATCTTTTAGATCTTATTCAGCCTGTATTAACTCCTCTCAAAAAACTTCTTTGAAATCTGCCTAAGTAAATAAATCTCTTTCAAATGCTCCTAAAGCACTCTATATATGCTTCTATTATAAAACTCATTATGCTGCATTGTGATTATGTTCTCTCTTCTGTTTCCTTGACTAGGACATAAATTCACAACTATATCCTCAGCACTTAAAACATAGTTAAGTACTCAATTACATTTATTTGTTGAATACATTGTTTAATTCATGTGTTTCCTCAATATTTATTCACTGATCTGCCATTAATATCTTCCCATTCAAATACTGCCTCACCTGTTTTATATGTAATCTAACAAGATTCCATAATTAGAGTTCAGTAGATACTCTGGATAAGAATACCTCTCCACACCCCACAAAAAAAAAAAAAAAAATACAGTGAGTCAATTCTGACTCATAGCGACCCTATAGTACAGAGTAGAACTGTCCAATAGAGTTTCCAAGCAGCAGATGGTGGATCTGAATGGCCAACCTTTTGGTTAGCAGCCCAATGCTTAACCACTGCACCACCAGGGCTCCTAAGAATGATTTAGGAAGTCTTTATACAGAACTTCTCTACAGGTATACTTGATGTCATTTATGCAAATACATGAGTGGATGAAAGACTTAGAAAAACAGAATGCTCTGATCATAGAAAGCGGTGTTAATAAACAGAGCCAGTTCAAAGTCAAGTTTAATTGGTAACTTTTGTTTCTCCCAATAAACGAGTAACCAATAGGTACCAGTGATGAGTATAAAGTGTCTTACTTAAATCCTATGTTATCGTCTTGAGTTTGTAGATGTTTTTGTGTGTGTTCAGGTTTGGAGAGGAGGGAGCTGAAATTAAGACTGCATAGACCTGAGAAATAAAGTGTGACTACAATGCTATTTAAAAACAAAATAAAAAAACAATCAAAACAAAAAATCCTTCTTTGGTTTCCAGCAATACAATGGATTAAATGACCTAAAAACTTTCTGCCCAGAAGTCTATATAAAACATTAAAAGCATCCTCTTAAAAACAGCTAAGCAGGGGGAGGGGGAAAGTATCCCTTTTGAATATGGACAGATAATTATGCTCTCCTTTACAAAGGCATGCCCTGAAGGGAAATATTTTACCAAAGTCTAATCAACCTGGATTTTACCAGAGCCTAACCCACAAAGGGGAAGGGAAATACTCAACTCCAACCCCTTCTAACTTTCCTGTGTCACTTAAGAGGTGGGAAAAAAAAGCTGAGAAGGAATACAGGCTCAGTAAAAGACTTGGACCTATCAAAGAATTACGATTATTCCCCCTACAATTTACCATCACAGCAAAAGGGCTCCTGTATAATAACAGAGGATTATATCTGAAAGAGCTGCAAGTCTCAGATCTTTTTTATGAAGAAATCTCCAGGAAATCCAAAAGACAACAGGGAGACAATAGCAAAGACACCAGAAGACATTTTAGCCTCTGACACCTACAGTACAGCAAACAGTAAACATAGTCTAACTCTTATTTAGATATACATAAAACCTCACATTAAAGGCCTATTTACCTCAGTTCCTTTTATTCAGAACATCACATCTGGATTTCAAAAAAAAAATTATAAGGCATATTAAATGTAAAACTAAAATAAAAAACACAAACTCTGAAGAGACAGAGCAAGCATTAGAACCAGATTCAGATATGGCAGAGATTTTGGAATTGTCAGAGAATTTAATATAACCATGATTCATTTGCTAAGGCTTCTAACAGAATAAGTGGAGAGAGAACATGCAAGAACAAATGGGTAATGAAGCAGAGAGACGGAAATTCTAAGAAGGAATCAAAATGAAATGCTAGAAATAAAAAACACTGTAAAAGAAAGAATGCCTTTGAAGGGCTCATCAGGAGACTGGTTGCAGTCGAGGGAAGAATCAGTGAGCCTGAAGATATGTCAATAGAAACTACTCAAACTGAAAAGTAAAGATAAAAAAGAATGAAGAAAAAGAGAACAGAATATACAAGAACCATGGGACAACTGGGGCCCTGGTGGTGCAGTGATTAAGTATCTGGTTGCTAACCAAAAGGCTGGCAATTCAAATCCACCAGCCGCTCCTTGGAAACCCTATGGGGTAGTTCTACTCTGTCCTACAGTGTTGCTATGAGTCAGAATTGACCTGACAGCAAGGCTTTTCTTTTTTGGTGGGACAATTGCAAAATTACAACATATGTGTAATGGGAATAACAGGAAAACAATGAGAGAAAGGAATAGAAAAAAAAATTTGAAATAATAATGGCTGAGAATTTTAATCAAAATTAATGAAAGACACTACAAAACTCTGATAAAGGAAATCAAAGAAGATCTAAATAAATAAATAGTCCATATTTATGGATAGGAAGACTCAACGTAGTTAAGATGATCCTACTTATATGAAATATCTAGAATAGACAACTATATAGAGACCAAAGTTTATTAATGGTTACAAGGAACAGTAGAGAGGGAGGAGAAAAGGAGCACTTAATGCTGAAGGGACACTGAGCTTCGGTTAAGGGTGATAGTACAATTTGGGGATTGATAAGGGCAATGGTTAAATAACATGATAAACATAATGTCACTAAACTACATGAGAAGACTGCCGAAATGTCAAATGTTTTCTTACATACATATTTACCATAATAAAAAAGTGAACATACACATACATACCTCATGACCCAGCAGCAGTTTTTTTTATATATATATATACACATATATATATTCACAATAATGTGTGTACAACTGCATGTGTGTGTGTGCATGTACACACACACAAATGTACTGGAAAGTTCACAAAGAATTATTCGTAATACCTCAACTTTGGAAATAATCCAAAATCCATGTACAACAGAACAGATAAATACATTTTGGTATGTTCATATAATGGAATACTATACAACAACGAAATGGTTTACAACTACATACAAAGACAGTGATGGATCTCAGAAACATAATGTTGAGTAAAAGAAGCCATAAACAGAAGAATACATACTCTTGATTCCACTTATATAAAGTTCAAAAATAGGCAATACTAATTTAATTAGTATTAATTAGGGAATTAATATTTTATAATTAATTTTCAGTGTTAGCAATAAAAAGAATGAGAAAAAAAGGAAGATGTTTTGATTTGGAGGAGGAAGAATAGGGGCTTTTATAGTGCAGGTTATTTTACATTTCTCAAACATATTGGTAGTTACATAGATTTGTATAGTTTGTAATAATTTACTGGGTTGAACACTAAGATTTGTTTATTTTCTGTACGCTTTGATTTTAATTAAAAAGTTAAAATATTAATGTAGAAAAAATGTATAAGATATTATGAATAATTTTATGACAACACATGTAAAAACTTAAGATAAAACTCACCAATTCCTAGACAGACATTACTTAACAAAACTAACAACTGAATGATTCTATAAATATTTAAAATTGCAACTAAAAGCCATCTAACAAAGAAGATTCCTAGCCAGATTTACCAGTAAATTCTACAATATCTTTAAGAAAAAAAAAATTCCCCCAATATTCCCCAAACTCTTCTGGAGAAAAATAAAGGATGGAATACGTAGGAGGACAGCTCAAGCTTGATGTCCAAAAAAAAAAAAAAGGAAAACCAAAAATTATAGGCCAATCACTGTAATGACAATAGATGCAAAAATATGAAACAAAATATTAGCAAATTGAATCCAGCTATAAAGAAAAATACATAATGATCAAACTGATTGTTATTTTCAGTAATACAAGGTTGGAGCAACATTTAAAAGTCAATATAATTCATTAACAGAATAAAGGAGAAAAATCATATAACCATCTCAATAGATGCAAACAATGATTTTACAAAATTCAATATCCTTCACGATGAAAACTCTTAGAAAGTTAACAATTTAAGGCATTCGTCTTAATATATTAAGAAGATACCTAAAAATAAAACAAATAAAAAATTCAGCAGACATCCTTTTTTTTTTTTTAAATTTTTTTAATTGTACTTTAAGAGAAAGTTTACAGTTCAAGTTAGGTTCTCATACGAAAATTTATACATAGTTATGTGACCCTAGTTGCTCTCCCTATAATGTGACAGCACATTCCTCCTTTCCACTCCACATTTCCCATGTCCATTCAACCAGCTCCTGTCCCTTTTTGCCTTCTCATCTCGCCTCTGGACAGGAGCTGCCCATTTAGTCTCATGTAGCTACTTGAGTTAAGAAGGATTCTCTTCATGAGTATCATTTTATGTCATATAGTCCAGTCTTATCTATGTCTGAAGAGTTGGCTTCAGGAATGGTTTCAGTTCTGGGCTAACAGAGTCTGAGGGCCATGTCTTCCAGGGTTCCTCCAGTCTCAGACAGACCATTAGGTCTGGTCTTTTTACTAGAATTTGAGTTCTGCAACCTACTTTTCTCCTGCTCTGACAGGGACTCTGTTGTATTCCCTGTCAGAGCAGTCACTGGTGGTAGCTGGGCACCATCTAGTTCTTCTGGTCTCAGGCTGATGGAGTCTCTAGTTTATGTGTCCCTTTGTCTGTCTCTCGGGCTAATATTTAACTTGCGTCTTTGGTGTTCTTCATTCTCCTTTACTCCAGGTGAGTTGGGACCAATTGATGCATCTTAGATGGCTACTTGCTAGCTTTTAAGACCCAGATGCCACTCTCCAAAATGGGATGCAGAACATTTTCTTAATAAACTTCATTATGCCAACTGACCTAGATGCTTCTGAAAGCATGGTCCCCAGATCCCCGCCCCTGCTACTCTGTTCCTTGAACTGTTTGGTTGTATTCAGGAAACTTCTTAGATTTTGGTTTAGTCTAGTTGTGCCGACTTCCCCTGTATTGTGTGCTCTCCTTCCCTTCACCTAAGATAATTCTTATCTACTATCTAGTTAGTGAATACCCCTCTCCCTCCCTCTCCACCCTCATAACCATCAAAGAATGTTTTCTTCTGTGTTTAAACCTTTTCCTGAATTCTTATAGTAGTGGTCTCATAAAATATTTGTCCTTTTGCAAGTGACTATTTTTACTCAGCATAATGCCTTCCAGATTCATCCATGTTATGAGATGTTTTGTGGATTCATTCTTGATCTTTATTGTTGTGTAGCATTCCGTTGTGTGAATATACCGTAATTTGTTTATCTATTTGTCTGTTGATGGGCACCTAGGTTGTTTCCATCTTTTCGCTATTGTGAACAGTGCTGCAATTAACGTGGGTGTGCATACATATATATTCGTGTGACGGCTCTTATTTCTCTAGGATATATTCCAAGGAGTAGGACTGCTGGATTATATGGTACTTCTATTTCTAGCTTTTTAAGGAATTGCCAAATCAATTTCCAAAGTGGTTGTACCATTTTACATCCCCATCAGCAGTATATAAGTGTTCCAGTCTCTCCACAATCTCACTAATATTTTTTAATTTGTGTTTTTTGGATTAATGCTAGCCTTGTTGGGGTGAGATGGTATCTCACTGTAGTTTTGATTTGCACTTCGCTAATGGCTAATGATCATGAGCATTTCCTCATGTATCTGTTAGCTGCCTGAATGTCTTCTTTGGTGAAGTGCCTGTTCATATCCTTTGCCCATTTTTTTAATTGGGTTATTTGTCTTTTGCTGTTGAGGTTTTGGAGTATCTTGCAGATTTTAAAGATTAGATACTAATCAGATTTGTCATAGCCAAATTTTTTTTCCCAGTCTGTAGGTTTGTTTTGACTCTTTTGGTGAAGTCTTTTGATGAGCATAGGTGTTTGATTTTTAGGAGCTCCCAGTTTTCTAGTTTCTCTTCTGGTGTTTGTGCATTGTTAGTAATGTTTTGTATTCTGTTTATGCCATGTATTAGGGCTTCTAGCATTGTCCCTATTTTTTCTTCCATTTTAGATTTTATATTTAGGTCTTTGATCCATTTTGAGTTAGTTTTTGTGCATAGTGTGAGGTATAGGTCTTATTTCATTTTTTTGCAGATGGATATCCAGTTATGCAAGCACCATTTGTTAAAGAGATTATCTTTCCCCATTTAACAGACTTTGAGCTTTGTCAAATCTCAGCTGCTCATAGGTGGATGAATTTACATCTGGATCCTCAATTCTGTTCCACTGGTCTACATATCTGTTGTTGTACCAGTACCAGGCTGTTTTGACTACTGTGGCGGTATAACGGGCTCTAAAATCAGGTAGTGTGAGGCCTCCCACTTTGTTCTTCTTCAGTAACGCTTTACTTATCTGGGGCCTGTTCCCTTTCCACATGAAGTTGGTGATTTGTTTCTTCATCTCATTAAAAAATGCCATTGGAATCTGGATCGGGATTGCACTGTCTCTGTAGATCGCTTTGGGTAGAATAGACATTTTCACAATGTTGAGTCTTCCTATCTGTGAGCAAGGCATGTTTTTCTACTTATGTAGATCTCTTTTGGTTTCCTGCACTAGTGCCTTGTAGTTTTCTTTGTATAGGTCTTTTATATCTCTGGTTAGATTTATTCCTAAGTATTTTATCTTCTTGGGGGCTATTGTAAATGGTACTGATTTGGTGACTTCTTCTTCAAAGTTCTCTTTGTTGGTGTAGAGGAATCCAAATGATTTTTGTATGTTTATCTTGTATCCTGATACTTTGCAGAAATCTTCTATTAGTTCCAGTAGTTTTCTTGTGGATTCTTTGGGGGTCTTCTGTGTATATGATCATATTATCTGCAAATAGAGATACTTTCACTTCTTCCTTACAATTTGGATGCCCTTTATTTCTTTTTTCCAGCCAAATTGCTCTGGCTAGGATCTCCAACACAATGTTGAATAAGAGTGGTGATAAAGGGCCTCCTTGAGCAGACATCCCTCTTAATTGCAAACTTGAAAGTTTTCTCTCTGAGATCAGAAACCAGAAGAGGGTGCCTTATTCAATACTCACTGATGGTCCTAGCCAATTTAATAAGTGAAGAAAAAGAAAAGGGTATAAGGTTGGAAAAGAAGAAATAAAGCTGACATTCACAAGATTACATTATTATATATATTGGAAAAGAAGAAATAAAGCTGACATTCACAGGATTACATTATTATATATATAGAAAATCTAAAATATTCTTCCAATTAATTATTAGGAATAGCAATTGAGTTTAGCAAGGCTGCTGGTTAATATGGAAAAATCAGTTGTATCTCACTACAGCATTGGTAAATATAAACTTGTAAAATACATCCTTTAAAATAGCATTAAAAATCAAATTCTGAAGAAACACACCTAATGAAAAATACAAAATACACAGAAAATTATAAACGCTACTGAGAGAAATTAAAGAAAACCTAAATACTATGTCCTTGGATTGGAAGACAATATTTTAAAGATGTTAATTCTCATGAAACTGCTCTCTAGAGTCAAAGCAACTCCAATTAAAAATCCTAATAAGATTTTTTGTGGAGTTCAAAAAACTTTTCCTAAAACTTATATGGAAAGGCAATGTGCCAAGAATAGCCAACACATTTTGAAAAGTAGAAAGACTTGCTCTACTTGATCTCAACACTTATTAAAAAGATTTTCATAAATTGTGGAATTTCACAACTGTAATAAAGAAGACAGAATGAAACTTCACAAAGATACACAAATGGATATACAAACTAATATCAGAAATCAAGATAACGATAGCATTTGGAAAGGAGTGACAGAATACTGATTGGTGTGGGTATAATGAGGGCTTGTGGGGAATCACAAGCTCTATTTCTTGACCTATGTGGTGGTTACATGGGTGTTTTTGTGATAATTCATTAGGTTGTATACTTATGTTTGGTAAACTTTTCTGATTGTATGTTTTTCTTCAATTAAAAAAAAATACACTACATCCAATCAGGATTTATTTCTGAAATGAGAAGATATATAATAAAATGGAATCTATGAAATAATCCTTACAAGTTAAAGGAGAAAAAAAAATCATATAATTATATCAACAGGTGATGGAAAAATTCTGCAGCCATTCCTAATTAAAACTTCAAATAAAATAGTAAAAGACACTATTCAAAGATACTATATTTACCAAAAACAAACAAACCCAGCAAATATTATCCTAAATGGCAAAACACCGAAACCACATAAAGTAAAACTCAGAATTTAACATTGCTAACACCATGGTCACTTAATATTGGAAATTCTAGTAACCATAATGAGATAGGATATAAAAATGAATGCAAATATTGGAAAAAACTGCAAAAAATCTCTTACGTAACTGTCTATCAAGAAGAACCAAGAGGTATTAGTAAAAATCTAAAACTGATACAAGATTCAAGATAAAAAAATATACAGTGTTTCTCTAGTATTTGGAATCTATTCATGAATGTGGGAAACATTTATAATAATGGAAAAACTGATAAATTACTTTGGAATAAACTTAAGAAATCACAGAACTAATTATATCATATATCACATCTATCTATATATGTCAAATATATATGCAGTCAAATTATGTGCAAGGCAAGTTCAAAAAATGGAAAGTCATACAGTGTTGCACGGATGGGAACACTTAATATCGTACATGTCAATTTTCCCAAAATTAAAATAGAAAATTTCTTCTTATCCTCATGTCTCAACTGACGTGTGGTCTCTTTTGTAAATGTCTCCCTGACAACCCTAGGTAGACCTAGGCACTATTTTCCCTATACTTACTCTGGATTTTATACACACATACTTTCTTACATTGCACTTATTGTAGCATTACCAATAAACCATTTGCTGTCAAGCTGATTCTGATTCTCATGGTGACCTCATGTGTGTCAGAGTAGAACTGTACTCCACAGGACTTTCAATGGCTGATTTTTCTGGAAGTAGACTGCCAGGTCTTTCTTCTGAGGTGCCTACCGATGGACTTGAACCACCAACATTTCAGTTAGTAGCTGAGAGCATTAACTGTTTACACCACCCAAGGACTCCTATCACATTAGCTTATGGTTATTGACATAACTATCTCCCCACTACCATGTTAACAGCCCCGAGTAGAAACCATAGTTTTTCTTTTTTTGTATGTTCAATACTTAGCACCATACCTGGCATGAAGCAGGAACTCAATAAATGTTAGCTGGAAGAATGAATTAGTAGTTTGCATGACTTACTCAAAAAATGTTGCCGATGTTTACCTGATTCACAGAAGCAGCATGATTTTCTGACTGGTCTTTCATTCAAATCAGCATTTATCTCCTTCTATATAACCCACAACAACAAAAACAAACAGATGCCCAAATGATTTTTTTTTCTAGAACTTGAAGATCAGCTATTATTTTTATATTTAAGATACTGAAATCTAATAGATTTTAAGAACATCTCTTAACTGACAATTTATAAAACTCTACACATTTTTGTTTATATTACATATATTATTCGCAGAATTCAAAAGTTCCTGGTTGTATCAGGTGTCCACAAGATCGTCTGGTGATTTACAAGGACTCATGTGACTCAGCATATAGTTGTACTTATGTCTAAGATTTATTATGGCAAAGGACACATGATAGGTTCAGTAAGGGAAAAAGATAACAAGCTGAGTCTGGAGAAATCCAAGCAGAGCTTTGCTTATGCTCTCTACGTTCTGTAAGAGTACATATTTGAGGGTGTTCCTTTCTCCAGCAATAAGAAATGCAGTAACATGTGTGTAATGTTTCTGCCCAGGGAAGTCCATTAGGAACTCCTTGGCACTCAAGGTTTTTATTGGAGACTAGTCACGTAGGCACCCTCTTACCAACCAAAATTCCAGACTCTCAGAAGGAAAGCAGGTGTTCGGCATAAATGACATTGTTTACACAGTCTAGGCACAGTAAACCACTCTTCTCAGGGAAAGTTTCATCAGTGAAGAGAACTGTTTACCAGCCAAGTTCCCAGACACTAGCTAAGGGCCAACCTTGCAAGCAGGTCCTTCTAAAGACAGCAGTATCAAGCCTTCTAGGTTAACTCTTTTTTGCAAAAAAGTTATTCACTGGTATCCTAAAATTAGGTATCTGTGAAATGTGCTGGTTAGCAAGGAAGTTAATCAACTTAATGGGACAAAAAAAAAAAAAAAAGAAAGAAAGCGTGTGTTTTTTAAAATAAAGCGAATAATGGGAGAAAAGTTTAAGGATAGCTGGAAAGCAGAGAGAAGATCTCTGCATACTAGGGGATGTGCTCAACCTACTCAGGTAATTATACAAGGAGATAAATCCAGTGGAACAGACTTCATTTTTTTCCCCAGGCTGAGCATAAGCCATCAGAAGTACATTTTCTGACAGTGATGGATTTTGTACAACATGTTGGAAAAGAGAATATAATATTGATTATAATAAAAATGCTCATATTTCTCAAAATAAACTAGATATTTGCAACCATTTGAAGTACTCATTTCAATAACATGGATGGAAAAGTTAATAATACCCACATTACCTAAACCAAGTTAATAATCAAATGTAGACACATTTTTTAATTTAGAAGCCTTCTTAGTCAGGGACATAGCCTTTCAAATTTCTTGGGCAATTTAAGGACTTCAAATTGTCAAAGCTGTTACGAGGTTTCTTTTTTGGACTCTTAGCTACTGACATAGTAGCACAGTGCCCTCACCCAGTATGGGCTTGTCAACTGTTTATTTATAATGAAATCGCACTCCAAAGAGGTATATTGTGGGAAATAGTCTGTATTTTAGTAGTTATGTATAATTTAGTCTGTCAATTATTATGCATTATAGGACATGGAAAATTACGTCACTTTCTACTCTAACGAAGAGAATTTCTTTGGGGAGAATTTAGTCAATTTCCAGTTTACTGAAATCTCTTTTAAACCATGTTAACTTCTTAGCACAGCTAAACTAGTTAACACTATGCTAATGGAACCAAGGATGAGGATTTTATTCCTCTAATAGCAAGCAAGTTGGTAACCCAAAAAATACATGTTATGTCCAAAGGCTGCACCCTGAATCTCTGCTCGTAACTTTCCAATAACAGGTCACTGATCACTGGTCAAAAGGGAATGAGGAGAGAATGGCTGTCTCTGAACAATCTATCAGACCTATTACAAAAATGATTCAATGCAGCTCAATTTGATGCTTCCTCTGAAGGCTGCAGATTATGTTCTGCAGTGTACCCAAGGGCTTTTAAAATTTTATTACAGTACAATTAATTTCAGGGAAGTAGATGTTCTGTATGTTCCCTTAGTTACTGGGATTGTTTTATACCAATGATAATCATAATATTGTACCTCATTTATTCTGCCTACGTCTGGGGCAAAAGAAATAGTACATGCTTCTTCTTTTTGATGACCCAGAAAAGACTGTGAAGGTTTGGGAAAGTTTCTTGTGGGTGAAGTTTGAGCTGAAACAGCTGAAGCTTGAGCTGAGACGTTTGTAGTTCCTGAAAAAAGAAGGGAGATAACTTTAAATATGAGAAGATAATAGAGCTATAACAAGGATGAATTTCTAACACATAGGGTTGTTCCAAAGTTCTCCCTGCTCAGCTGCCACACAACTGGAATCACCACAATCAGGTATTTGTTTGAGTTAAGGCAGTATCTCCAAGAAAAAAATGACTTTTTCTGATGTTCACTGCCTACAAATTTCCAGTGGTTCACTACTGCCTTCAGGGAGAAATCTTAAATTCTTAACCTCTGATCCTTATTTAATTTATTATGCCAGCTTAATTTCCTTCCACTCACCATAGCTCACTGCCAGAATTAGCTATCTGTATGTCATTCAGTAGGCAATGGGAAACCACTGATGACTTGAATAGGGAAAAACCAAAGCTGTTTTTTAAAAAGATTCCTTTTACAGCAAAATGTATGGATTATTAAAAAAGAGAAAGAAAAGGTTGGAGGAGACTTACTACAATTATCAAGGGTGAAGGAAACAAGAGCAGGAGCAGTGGGAATACAAAAGAGAGGAATGAGAAATCAAGGAGGTAGATCAGCCATAAAGAGGTAAATTCTGGATGCAAAATACAAGAAAGATAGAGGCAAAGGTGGGTCAGGTTTTGTGCCTGAGTGAAAACAAGAGTGTCGGAAAGATGATAAATTTCTTTTTGGATGTATTCAATTTCAGGTGGTTATTAGCTACCCAGATGGAGATGTCTAGTACTCTGTGTGAATATGCAGGATATACAGGGCAATATTTTTCGGAATGTGCAGGAAGCCAGTAAGGAATGAAAGAACTTAGGTAACGTCTAATGTGTTCCAGGGGAGGTGGGAAACACGATATATTGCTGGGGGAAAAGATGGCAATAGGTTGGTTATGGGGACCGTCCCGGGGAGAGTTCTCTGAACCACAGTATGTCAGAAACTTACTCTGCCTATCATTATAAACAGCCACAGCAGAAGCACTAACTTCTCCATACTTTGCAATTCCAAAAAGCATAATCATTCAGCAATCACTCAAAAATAGGGGCTAATTATAATAATTTTTATACTATCATTTATTTTCCAAAATAACCATAATTTTTAAGCGATAAAACACATAATTTGAAAATATTTATGATGAAACTATTTACTTCACAAATGACAAAACGATTACAAATATTTTTCATTTTCTTACCTCTATCATCAAAAATACTTGATTTTTTAGTTATCACTGCATCATTCTATATGGTACAAAATTCAAGAGAAAAACATTCATTAGTAATTACATTTCTGAAAGAGATTCTACCTTCTATCAACCAACCAAATGAATAGATGTTTTTTTCTCCTTTACACCCTAACGCTCTCACAGAAATTGTCTCAAGGACAATATACATATTATCAACATACTACTAGAGACGTTTCACAGATATTTCAAACTTAACTAGTTTAAAACTAAACTCAGTATGTACCAATGTACAAACTTGCTCCTGCTCTAGTATTAGTATTTCATATTTTATTTAAAAGCATGGTAATCCACTCAGTGCTTAGTTCTAAAAAGCTTAGTCATTCAATTTGTTTCAGAGAAATTCAATCTAATCCAGTCCAATGCCTATTGAGCACACTACTAAAGAAAAAAAATAAAATGTATCATTCTAGTCTCTCATTTTATTGTAATAACATTTGTCTGTATGTGTCTGCCCCACTAGACAATGAGTCGTCAAGGGGAATGATGGTCTTTTGTTTATCCTGTGTGACCCAATTTCCTCATATCTGCTTTAGTACAGGGCCTGGCCAATAGCAGATGCTCAATAAACATCAGCTATTATTGTCAGTATAATTACTAAATGTTTGTTTGAATTAGTTTCTGCTAAACTGCACAGGGCATTTAGCATAAAACCTAACTCAACACCTTCTCTGCCAGGGATAGGGATCAGGTCTCATGCACAGACCTCAATATCCTCAACCAATTGGTACTATCCTGGAGAAGGAGACAGTCTATGGAAATAAAAGTTAACCAGATGAATTAATGATCATTATCCAAAAGTTTGAAACATCATTTCATACCTTTTCTAAACCGTTACCCTGTACATTTGGCTGACCAACAACTGAAGCTGCTGATTTTTTGACAGCGTTCACTGAACTACCTTGAGATTGGTGAACATTATTTGCTGCATATCCTAAAAGTAAATGAAAAAGAAATACCATAACTTTATGGAGGTGAATATAATAATAAACTACTGTTCCCTTATTGAAGTTTTTCTTTAAATATGTTTGATGATTGAAAGCAAAATTGATGATACTGTCTGACCAGATGTTCAATGTATATAGATAGAATACATAATACAATTGTAACAGTAAGGGGGAGGCAAGGAACCATATATGGTAGTAAGGTTTTTACATTCCATTTTAAAGGTAAAATATTGATTCATAGTAGATTGTGAAAAGTTAACCATACCCAGTGTAATGCTAGAACAAACCACTGAAAATGTATACAAAGAGATAAAGTAAAAACTATTTAAAAATGAATCGTATACATGCTAGCCATGGGCAACTGAAACTAAAATTAAAAAATATGTATCATGTGAAATTGTACACCCCCCCAAAAAATGAACTATTTAAGTATAAATCTAATGTAACAAATACAGGATCTGTATGCTAAAAACTACAAAACACTAATGAAAGAAATTAAAGAAGACTGAAATAAATGCAAAGACATACCATGCTTATGGATTGTAAGATCGAGTACAGTAAAGACGTCTTTTCTCCTTAAACTGATCTATAGATTTAATGAAATTTCATTCAAAAATCCCAGCATGATTTTTTATGGATATGGACAGGCTGAGTTTAAAATTTACATGAAAAGGCTAATGAATTAAAATAGTTACAACAATTTTTAAAAAGAAGAATAGTCAGCGGAATTACACTGCCTGCTTTTCAGACTTAATAAAACCTATTATAATCTGTCACATGGGGTCGCTATGAGTTGAAATCAACTTGACCGCACCAAACAACAACAACAACATAATCAAGACAGTAAGATATTGGCAAACGGATAGACACATAGATCAAAGGAACAGAAAATGAAAACATAAATCACAGACTTGGAGAACATATTTGTAAATCATGTATCTGAAAAGGACTTATATTCAGAATATATAAAGATCTCTCAAATGTCAATAGTAGGGAAATAATCCAATTTTTAAAAAATGGGCAAGAGTCTTGAATAGACACTTCACCAAGCAGGATTTAAAGAAAGCAACGAGCAAATGAGATAATATCATTAGTCATCAGAGAAATGCAAATTAAAACCATGATGAGATACCAGTACACCTAGTAGAATGGTTAAAATAAAAAAAATACTGACAATACCAAGTAATGGCAAGGATGCACACACAGGGCTGCCATGAGTCAGAATCAACTTGAAGGCAACTGTTCTTTTTTTTTGTAAATAGTTGAGCAGTTACTTATAAACTTAAACATACACCTAACATAACCAAAACCAGTTGCTATCAAGTCAATTCTGACTCAAGGAAACCTATGTGAGTCAGGATAGAACTGATATGAGGAACTCCATATGACCCAGCAATCTTTTGTTCACACAAAAAGCTAAACACAAAGCTTCTAGTGAGTTTATACATAATCACACAAACCTGGAAACAACCTATATTTTCTTCAACTGCTGAATGGATAAACAAACTCTGGTACATACATATAATGGAATACTACTCAATAATAAAAACGAACACATTATTATTTTCTCAATTGCATGCAACTAAATTGGATTAATTTCAAAGGCATTATGCTGAGTGAAAGAAGCCGTTCTCAAAAGGTTAAATACTGCATGATTCCATCTACTTAACACTCTCCCTGGGGGTGAAATATGATGGAGACGGATCAGTGGTTACCAGGGGTTATTTATTAGTTGGGGGGAGGGTATGACTCTAAAGGGATATCATGAGGAGGATTTTTAGGGTGTTGGAACTGATCTGTATCTTTCTCTGAGATTTTTAATGTATAACCTGTTAACCTATTGCCATCAAGTCGATTCTGACTCATAGCAACCCTATAGGACAGAGCAGATCTGCCCCATAGTGTTTCCAAAGAGTGGCTGGTGGATTCGAACTGCCGACCTTTTGGTTACCAGCCGAGCTCTTAACCACTATGCCACCAAGGCATATACGTTAAAATTCATGGAACTGTACACACAAAAAAAATTTATTTTACTGTACAAAAGCAAAATAAACACCCCAGAATCTCTTTTGGTGTGGGGAGTGAATAAATACAAAGACGAGATCAGAAGCAGGGGCTGCAGGGAATTCAGGACTCTGAACTCTGCTTGGAGACTTGTCAGTTACATGGGGGCACGCTGCCCATAAGTATAGAGGCTGTGACATTGTACAGAATTCATACACAGGGCTCAAAGATGGAATAAAAACTAAGAAGATTTGATTATGGTAAATGGGAAAGAGGTACTTTTAATAACATGATAACTTGTGATGTCACTACTATACATTTCTAAAATTCACAATAAAGACAATGACTCAACTGCAACTCTCTGAGAAAGAAAGGTAGATAAAGATAGATCCTCCCTAGATATGGATCAACATTTTTTCAGAATTAATCTTTTAATAGGATATTTCTCCCAACTGTGCCTAATTAAACTTACAGGTCAAGTCTCTGGACAATTGTCATAGATGGACTGGTAGTTTGGTGAAGCTGAAAACAAGATTTTCCACCTATCATTCTTTCCTCATGTATCACTGAGATTCTGGGACAACAGTAACACAAGACTGGACTGCATCAAATGTTAGATTTTTTAGAAAATCAGTTTGCTTGGGATAACTGCTTTAGAGACAGAGAGTTCAGTTTTACTGTCTACGTTTAGTAGATGTGGGGCTCGTGTTATCATAGTCATGTCTGTAGAATAACTCTTTGGTGTGTTGTGAAATCTCTTTGGACTTTAAAAACGGGACCCACGAGGCTTAGAGTTGAATCAACTCAACCTCAGTGGTCCTGAGGTGGAAGACAACCCAGGCTAAGGAAACCCTGTCTCTCCCCAGGCGTCAGTTTAGCTGAGACTAAGCAAATTACATACACAGCGAGTATAGAATTTTGAACTTAATTTTCTTTAGATTTTAACTGATAAGACAGAGATTTAACTTTTCTACTTAAATTTTCTCTAGAAATTTAATAGTGAGAGGTTCATACTGTTTAATTTTAGATGTTGTTATACTATTAATAGTGCATTATTTTGAAGATTTTTATACTGTCATGTTGGCTCATGATCTAACCTAGCGAGCTCTAATGGATAATGAGTACACGAAGTGACAGACTGTGAAATACAAACAAATAATAAAGGAAGTGACTTTTCAGTAGGTTTCACGGTGGCTTTGGAATTAATGTATTTAATTTCTAACCCATTTCAGAGTTTTCTAATATCATGTTGAGCATCAAAAAAAAAAAAAAAAAGAAATACAATTTGTAAGGCTTCATGTACTGTGCATTTAACAGCAACATCCCCTTCATCTAATTTTTCTAAAACAAAAGTATAATGTCAAATTCAAAACACTACATAAGTAACTGCTGTTGTTGCTATGTGCCATCGAGTGGGTTCCCACTCATAGCAGCCCTATAAGATAGAGTAGAACTTCCCCATAGGGTTTCCAAGGAGCGGCTGGTGGATTCAAACTGCTGACTCTTGGTTAGCAACTGAGCTCTCAACCATTGTGCCACCAAGGCTCTTATAAGTAACTAGGGAGTTGAATTCAGAAGGTGATGGAGGCTGTATCATGGTTGGTAAGCATCACTCTAAATCAGTCATTTGATAAGAGGACAAAGGATTTATCTGCATTGGAAGCAAAAGAGGTCATCACCCAACTCAGTCTTTCCCCAAATTATTATTTAATATTTCTTACTATAATATTCAGTTACCATTTACTCCTTTACTTCCAGGGTGAACTGACTTTACATCATCATAACTCTTCTTTTTCGTTGGAGAAGCTTAAAGAAATGTAATAAAACATTTATTTTTAATAATTGTAATGACAGAATTACTCATGATAGACTCTATTTTTCCATGCCTAAGAGCAGGTGAGTCATAGGCTTATCTGTATGTTAGGTTGTGAGGAGGATTTGGAGAGGATAGAGAAATGTGAAATGGGAGGAAGGAAAAGCACTCTTGAAATATTGTCCCCTCAAGTTAAAAGTTATACCTGGAGGGGCAGCATTTTCTTTCAACAGAAGGGAAAAGCTATATCCTGCACAAATGGAATGTGACATTTCCTCTCTGTGGGGATACATACAATCATGATGATTGGGTTAGAGACCCACCAGCCCACAGTGACTATGACAATTCTTAGATTTGCCTTATGGCCAGGCATAAACAACCATATGGATATCTCTCTTTTGCGATAGAAGTCATTGTCATTCCTGTGGCAAAGGTGGGCAGATGATCCTCACTGCATGTATGCACAATGAGTTTTCATTAGAGATGTAGACGCTGAGAGTGATCTGTCTCCCCACTGATCACTGCAGCTGATTCATCTAATATTCCCTTTCCTCTTTTCCCTCTGTGCCCTGTGGAATCTGTCTAATTGATGAAAAATGACAACATTACTATAGTTGTATAATTCAACTTCATTTGTGAAATAGATCTCCCTCCTTACTATTTCTCGCCTTGATAAGAGAAATTAAATACATTTATTTGAGGTAGTAAGTGTTTAAAATGTGTACTTGAAACTTTTTTTTCTATTAGATGTGAAAGTTAACACTGGAAAATGGAGCAACATATACAATTGCTAAAGCTATGTTTTATCTGAGGCACCGCGTTGCTGCGTCACTGCCTCAATGAACTGAACAGACTAAATTAGTGTCTTCAGCAAACACGTATTCAACATACATATTGGGCTGCCTGCTCTGTAAAACAGAATTGTAAAAGTGGGAATTTACAATATTATGGGAGATTAAGACATAGAAAAATATGCAATAAGTGTACTAAGAATGGTACAAAGTCTTATGTGGGTTCAAAGAAGAGAGCTCTTCCAATTAGGATTATCAAAAAATAAAAACAAAAACTTTATGGAGTGTCACATGAGATGGGGCTTAAAGAATTACAGGATTTGATAGATGGAGATGGTGAGCAGGTTATTCTAGGCTGAGGATATGGCATAGATGAGGCACAGAAGTGGGAAAAGTAAACCTTGTTTTAGGAATGATCAGTACTCTAATTTGACCGGACGATGAAATAAATTGAGGACTTACTGTATGCTACTGACTGTTGGGTTCTTTTTAAGAATTGTCTAGGGGTATTATCCTTTTTTCAGATATGAAACTGTGGCTCAGAGAGGATAAGAAATTTGCCCAAGGTCATGTGACCAGTAAATGGTAAAGCAGGACTTGCACTACAGCACTCTGGCTCCAGAGCCTGTGCGCATCAACCCGAAACAATAGCTGCTTTCTTTAGGGATGTAGTGTGAAATATAGTTAACAAGCTGGGTTGGAAGTAGTCTGAGCTTCATTTAATAGGTAAAGGTAATCTTTAAGCTTGTTGGGCAGGAGAAAAAACTATAAGAACAGAATTTTAAGTGTAATTAGGCAGGAAGGTACAAAGTGGATTTGAGGTAGGGAGAAATGACGACCATAGGAGACTAGTTAGGAATCTGCTGGAGTGATCCAGGGAGGCTCTGGCCTAGAAACAGGATTGATGGGACAGCTGTGAGAAACACATTACTATGATGATAGCTGCACGAAAGATGATCATGTTCTTTCCTGATACTATATAGTCACAGATAGTTCAAACATTCTGGTCATGATAATTTCATTAATATCAGGGAGTGGAAATCCGACTATGGTTTTACAATGTATAAATAAAAGGAACTGACAGAGATTGAGCATAGCAAAGTCTATGTTCCTTCTTTTAATCATTCTTCATTTCTTTCTTTTATTCCCCCCCTTCCTTTCCTTCTTTTTGTACCTCCTCCCTTCCTTCTTCCCTTCCCTTTTTCCAGTTCTGTTTATTCTTACTGATTAAAAACACAGAACACCATGTTGGTATATAATAGCGATTATCTTACACATAAACTTTTTAAAGTTTCAGTGGAAAAAATACATGATTTTAAGTATAGGAACTTGGTTAGAACTGCACTATAGTCAACCTTGTCTGCCGTGCTACTTTGTAAGATTGTTTTAGTATGTTATTATATTTACATATATGTCTACTATTCAATTTGAGCTGTAATAAGGAAATGCCCAGAACAATGCCTGGCACAAAGCAGGCAGCAAGCATTAAGCACACAGAGGAGTTTTACAAAAGCCACTAACACATAAATACATAAAAAGCATCTTCTACTTAGCTACATTGTCTTTCAATGTTCTTACATTCATAATATGTTCCATCTTGTCCTCTATATTCAAATGTATTTTTTCCCATCTCTTCTCTTCTATCACCAATCTCTTGCATTTTTTGTAAATGATATGCCATTTTTTTCTCTAGAAGGGCTCGTTTCTAAAATATTATAGAAAATATATTAGTTAGTACCAACTATCCATTTAGAAATACAGAACATATTCAAAATGTGACAGTATATTGGAAATGACAGTACACTGGAAATCACTCCTGTCTTGAGATGTGTAGGATAACACCGAGTACAAATTCAGGGGTGGAGGCAGTAAGGGGTAAATTCCCATTTATGGTCAAACACGAAGAAGACTATATCTAACACTTAGATGTAATTTATCTCACTGCACACCTTCGGGAAATTGGTTCACCTTCAGATCAGATAATGTCTCTCAATCCATGGATATCCTAGTGAGTTTAGGCAATTTCTCAATTATCTTTAATTGGAGGATTCCTGAGTGACTTATGCAAAAGTCAACCAGGTCTACCACAGGTAAAACATAAAATTCATGAAATGTGACTTCTCTTTGTAAATCTCTGGGTGTATCATATAGGACAGAATTGCACAGAGCAAAAAATTCAGATATTCTCAGAGGAGTCCATAGTGTATTTAGCCTGGAACAGATCAGAACATTAGTAGGAAAATATTCAAGGTCACAGAAAGAATCATCCTAAAGAATTAAAGAGAACAATGCTTGTAACCTACATGGGGCTGGAAATCATGCAACTGTCACCAGTCACACTGGAAAATTTTTGTAAGTCACAGGGCATTGAGTAGAATACTAAAATGGGTCTAGCCTCAGTAGTAGAGAATAATTAGTTCCAGATTAAACACAGCTCTAAAAAACCATTAAGAAAATTTTAAAAAGCAAGATCTATAATGATCAAACTGTTTCCAAATAAATTAACTATATCCAAGAAAAAAGCTGCAGAATATCTATAAGATTATGAAAATATTCAGTACCCAAAAAGGAAACTTTACATTGTCTGGCATCCAGTCAAAGAATACCAGCCATGTACAAAGGCAAGAAAATACAGCCTACAAAAAGGAGTCTATCAATCAGTCAAAATCAACCTAGATATTACACAAATGCTAGCATTAAATACATACCTGCATTTGCATAAGTTTACAAAGTAAACAGACATGGAAGATATAAAAAGGACTGAAATAAAAATTTTAATATGGGAGATGAATAATATAATGGACACATTAACAGCAGAGGAGATATTGCAGAAGAGATAAACTAATGTGAATTCAGCAAGAGAAACCATCCAAAAAAAACACTGAAAGAGAAAAAATAAGAAAAAAATAAAAAGAGCATCAGTGAGATGTGAGACAATTTCAAGAAGCCTGATAGATCTGTACTTAAAGTCCTTGAAGTAGAGGAGAGAGGGGGTAAATGAAATATTTGATAACAATGACTGAACATGTTCCAAATTTGATAAAAGCTATAAATTCACAGGTCTAGGAAGCTCCAAAATCCCAAGCCCAAGAAACATAAATAAAAATACACCAAGGAAAATAATCAAATTGCTCAAAACCAATTATAAAAAGAAAATTTTAAAAGTCACTGTAAAAAAAAAATTATGATACTGAGAGAAAAACTTTAGAATGGCAGCATATTTTTTTTTGTTGGAAACCATATAGAGAAGACAATGGAACGGCATCTTTAAAGTATTAAAAAAACAAAAAAGTCAACAGAGAATTCTATACCCAGAGAAAATCTTTCAAAATTGAAGGTGAAATAAAGATTTTTCAGCTGTACAAAAGCTGAAAGAATTAATCACCAGCAGAGCAACTGAAAAAGAAATGCTTTTAAAGGAAGCCTTTCAGAGAGAAGTATACAATGATACTAGGTAGAAATATGCATCTACAAAAAGGAATGAGAGCATCACAATTGGTAACTGCATAACCAAACACATACAACTTTTCTTACTATTTAAATCTCTTTAAAAAATAAATGACTGTTTACACAAAATTAATAACGTATTAAGGGATTTATAAGACACAAGTAAAATGTGTGATAAAAATAGCATACATGACAAGAGGGGGGAAATGAAGTATAATATCATATGGTTCTTATACTACAGGCAGAGTGGTATAATAACACTTCAAGAGTGATCCTAGTAAGTTAAAGATATATATTATAATCCCTAAAGCAACCACTAAAATTACAAAACAAAGAGTTATAGCTAATAATTCAACAAAGGAAATAAAAAGGAATCATAAAAAGTAAATCCAAAGAAAGGGGAAAAGGAGAGAACAAAAAAGAGACAAATAGTGAGGTGACAGACTTAAAACTACCCACATGAAATATAAATGCTCTGAATGCCTCAATTAAAGGAGCCTTGGTGGTGCACTGGTTAAGCATTCGGCTACTAACCAAAAGGTCAGCAGTTCAAATCCACCAGCTGCTCCTTGGAAACCTTTGGGGCAGTCCTACTCCGTCCTTAAACTAATCTGTCAAAGAAAAACTCAAGGGAAATTTAAAGTATTTTGAGTTGAACAAAAATTAAAACATAGAATATCAAAATCTATGGGCTCTTGATACACCAGTGCTTATGGAGAAACTTATAGTACTAAATGCCTATATTAAAAAAGAAGAAAGGTCTCAAATTAATGACCTCCCATCTAAAAAACAAGAAGAACAAGAGTTTATAGTTACCCCACAGTAAGCAGGAAAAAAAAGATGTAATAAAGCTCAGAAGAGAAATGAATGAAATGGAAAACAAAAAACCAACACAGAAAATCATTAACACTAAAAGTTGGAAGCTTGAGAAAGTCAATAAAAACGCAAACAAAAAAGGAAAGAAAAAAAGAACTAGCCAAAATGATCAGGAAAAAAGAAGTCACAAAATACCAGTAGCAATACTGAGAGAGATGACAGCACTACAGTATACAGATACTCAAAGATAATAAAGAAATATTATAATCAATTTTATGTCAATACATTCCACAATTTATATGAAACAAAAAATTAGTTAAAATACACAAACTATCAAAGGTCTTTTAAAAATAAATAAATGTTCTGAATAGACCTATAATTATTAGGGAAATTGAATCTGTAGCTAAAAATCTTCACTAAAAGAAAACTCTAGGCCCAGTGGCTTCACTGACGAATTCTATAAAACATTTCAGAAATAATACCAATTCTAAAAAACTCTTCCTGAAAATTATTCCCAACTCATTTTATGAGGTAAACATTACCCTGATACCAAAACTAGACAAAGACATTACAAACAAGAAAACTATACACCAACATCTCTCATAAGCAAAGATGCAAAATCCTAAACAATATTTTAGCAAATTGAATTTAATAGTAGATAAAAAGCTAATACAATCTGATCAAATGAGTTTATCCACACATTCAGCATTGAGTTAACATTCAAAAATCAATTGCTGCTACTCAATATAACAATAAACCATAAATATATAGGGTGGCTATTAGTCGAAATAGACTCAATTGCAATGCGTTTTATTTTAATATGTATATATCAATTCAATATACCCACTGAAAAACACATGACAATATCCAGCATCTATTCCTGATAAAAACTTTTACGAAACTAGGAATAGGAGAGAATTTCTTCAGCGTGATGAAGAGCATCTACGAAAAACCTACAGATAACATTATACTTGGAAACCCTGGTGGCATAGTGGTTAAGAGGTATGGCTGCTAACCAAAAGGTTAGTAGTTCAAATCCACCAGGTGCTTCTTGAAAACCCTATGGAGCAGTTCTACTCTGTCCTATAGGGTCACTAGGAGTCAGAATTAACTCGACAGCAACGAGAACATTATACTTAATGGTGACAGACTGAATCCTTTCCCCTTGAGATCAATAAAAAGACAAGGATGTCCACTCTCAGGACTTCCACTCAGCATAATACTGGAGGTTCTAGTCAGTGCAATCAAGCAAAGTCTGAAATAGAATGACAGGATAAATAAAAATATCATGAACAATGTGTTATAGGATGCATGATCAAAATCTAGAGATTCTGACAACTGTAATTTAAGCATATAATTTGGAGTGAAAATCTGTATTATGCCAAATCTTAAAGGAAAAGATATACAATGATTTAAAAATACACACAAAGGGATTGAAAGCCTCTCAGATTAAAACAAGATTTTTTTTTTTTTTAAAAAAAGACAAGTTAATTGGAAACATCAATGATTCAAATGGTTTTGCCATTAACATGGCTCAAGCAGAATGTGGTAATACTCTGCTTACAATCAGTGGCCATGTCTAACGCACACTCCCAGTGGCACACTTTGGTCCGTTGCACTAGTCTCCACTAAATTGTAGCAGGACTTCTTGCATAGTAATTGGAATCAGGCAAAAATCAAGAGCAACCTGGGGCATTCTTTAGCTCTCAGAAAGCAGGTATCTTCAAAGCTACGTAGGAAAGTGTTGCAAAAAGACGAGGCATGGAGAAGACTCCCACTAAAAAAGTGGTGAAAATCTAAACATTAGAAAACAATAGTCAGATGGAATAAGCAGTCTACCATATAAGCAGGAAGTCCCTGACAACACTAAAAGGTACACTAACAGAAGTAGAAAAAAAGATAATCAAACATACTTTAATTTCCAATATTTTTAGAAAATTGTTAAACAGTGGTATATATAATCTAACTATGTAAATCTTACAGACAGGTTTGTCAACAATAAACTATCTAAAATTATGACATTATTTTAGATCAATATTTATCGACATAGAAAGTTGTCAATGATATTTTGTTAAATTAAAAAGCAGTCTAAAAAACAGACTACAATGCATAACATTATTTATGTATATATTTATTGGAATAAATATTCATAGAAACATTATGCAAGTGTGTGTGCGTGTCTGTGTGTGTGTATGCCCACATGCACACCAAAAAACAGGGTGGTAGCTGACTTACAGATGACTACTCTTTTTCTTTATATTAATTTACATTCTAAATCATAAAATACTATACAGGTGTTCACCGCATAGTGTCTGTTCGAGCAACAGCCGATGGCATATACCCTTGGTCCCATAAGGTTATAACAGAGTTCAGAAATCCTGATCAGCAGAACGGGATGTAGCGGATTTACTAAGTACTATAGATCCTATCTCTGGCCTGGGGTGGCAGGGGGAGGGGTTTCGGCACCCAGCTGGGGCTGCCTGTCCCATCACACTAGCCTCAGCATGGGACCACACTGATGCCTCCGGAGCTGAGGAGGGGGATGCCCCACGTGTCCACTGCCCCACTCAGCCAGGGCTCCATGCATGTCACGCCTAAGCCCAGACCTCAGCTCCTCCTGTGGTGGTGGCCACTGACTGCTCCAGGCTGCAGTGGTGGTGGGAAAGAGAACAGGAAGCGGGGAGGACAGGCAGCCCATTTGGGGAGCAGGGAAGGCAGGCAAGGAGGAAGGCAGAGAAGGGAGCTGGCTGAGTGCACGCTGTGGTGGGGGCCAGGCAGCGACTATGCAGGCCCAGTGGCAGCAGAGGCAAACTTTTCATGCAGTCCCTGGGCATAGCAGTGGAGATGCAGTCCCCTGTATGCCAGTAGCCGTCCTGAATGACTCTCTCCTGTATATAATATGGTATTTGCACAACGTCCAAATCACATAAAGTTCTATTTCACAGACCATATCGTGGATGTCAAGTGATGCATACCTGTACATTACTTGATATTTAAAAAATTTGAGCTAAAAAATATTTAGTCCGTTAACTGGTGGGGTATGGTTGGGAACTTTTACCAAGAATTTCTGGTTCTAAGAAAATCTTAATCAGTTCTTTTTAAAAATTTTTTCTATAGGAATTATAAGTACAGTTTAGAGTATGAAGATAACAGTCAAAAGTAGTTATATCAAATAGGGCAGTACTTTGTATTTTATGGTTAAAACAGCATGTTCATAACTTTAAGGTTTATAGAATGTACACCATTTCCAGTAACTGGTCCACTGTCAGCTCATAAGGTGTACTTTGAAAGATCAAAAATAGCAAAAGCTTCTTCTCTAATAGCTCAAATTAGAGGTCAAAGCTCACCCTACCTTCCTGTCACTCTCTTCTCTGCTTTTACGACGCTGCTCCTCAATTCTAGCTTCTCTTTTAACATCTTCTCCAATCCTTGTCAGAAGTAACATCTCTTTTTCCTTCCATTCCTAGAGAGCACAATATTATTGTACTCAGTGTGTGTTCTCTTTCATAATAATATTTTTGTAGTTTGTCCACCACCCACCAACAAATTAGAACAAGTCAAAGGCCTAACAAAAATCCGTTCAAGCACAATGAAAGTTATACATTGGGTTTAGAAAAGGTTTTTCTTATCTTACTGCATTCCTACATAATTATTTTTTCACTAAAGCTAAATTTTAAAACTTTAAATAGCAGAAACTGGCTCAGATACATAGGTTGAATTATCAGCCCCATTATTTTATGTAACAAATTGTATACTATAACTGTGACAAAAGATTAATGACGGTAAATTCTTTAGACCGGAAACAACTTCAAGCAGTATGAAGGGAAGCATAAATTATGTACAAGTGAAATAACTATATACACTTTTTCTCTCAATATTTTAATGGTTAACTCTGACCTCTTCAATTTTTCTACGAAGATTAAGTTTTCTTCTTGTGTATTCCCGTTCTCGCCTTTCTTCTTTATCTCTCTGGAGCTGGCGTTGCTCTTCTGCTGTGCGCTCAAGTAGTTCTAATTCCTTACTTATCATATCCAAATATCTAAGTAAAAGTGCAAATATTGATAAAGGTGAATTGGGTGTTTCCCTTATGATGGCATTAACTGTTTCAATATTCCCAAACCACCTCCTTGCTTGCTTTTTACTTCTTGAACTACAGGAATTTCACTGTTTTTTAAATCACTCCTGTTCATGGACCTTTAAGCCAGACTGAACCACCAACTCACGTTTTACTTATTAGACAGATCTTTCTGCTATTAAAAAAAAGTTGCCATTGAGTCAATTCAACTCATGGTGATCCCATCTCTGCTAAGTAAGTATCGGTTATTATGGCCAAGACAATGGTGAAATGTGAAACAGACTGACTTCAAGCATTTTACACAGTAAGTATTCATAGCTCAGCAGGTTTAGAAATATGAGTTTGCAAAAAAGGCTTAAATCAACTGAAGTGATGACTTCAAATCTGGAAACAAAAAGTAAATTTACATTTCCTAAGAAAAAGATGGATACTGTGTTTCTCTGTAATTTACAAGTCCTTGACCAGATCTCCCATCTATAGTCTGAACCTCTAGTAGGTAAATATGTGTTACAGCAGTATCATAAAATTACATCATGAGATATAAAAGTTAGGTAATAGAGCAGCCCTATCCTTCACCACCTACCACCCACCCCCTGATGAAGGAGGAAGAAAAAAGTACTGTAACTCATCCCTTTACCTCCTAAGGAATGGGTTTGGCCACAGAATGGTAATGTTTGAACATGCACGTGTCAATACCTGAATGAGCTCAGTTTCTTGGAGACAACACAGTTTATACTGGCATTAGATAAAATTATACCAAATACCTTAACACTGACTTCTTCATACTTGATACTGTCAGCCCTTAAATATGAAACCCAAGAAACTGCTGTTGTTTGAGGCATGTGCTAAAGACATCTTCCCTACCTCCCATTCTCCTACTGTGAAAAAATTTTTGGATCTGATTTTTCCATCAGTTTAACTTAGCCCTTGAGCTCCCGGTAACCCTGACATCTCTGGTAAAAATTGCCCTTCCTAGATTTGCCTAGATTTGGCACCAAGATTCCAGTTCCTATATCTATTGGTCTCCCTTCCTTCCTCTCCACACTGGGAAGGATAGGGATATAAAGGAATCATACAGTGTCTACTACTCTTTTATCTTGCCTTCAATTATTTCTAGTATTTTTCCAACTTATTTAACCCATGATATGTACATAAAATATACATTAACTTCAATCTTACCTGTGCCTTATTAACCGTTCTTGGTCCTTAATAGATTGGGTACCTTCATGTAACAACCAATTTTGGAACTGTGTAACATTAAAACATTCTGGGATGTGGTTGTTTTCCTGCAGTTTGTTTACTCTTTTTGCAAGCATTTTCTAAAAAAAAAATACACACACACACACACACACACACACACATATATATGCATGTTTGTGTGTAGATAAGTTTATATAAAGAAAATGTTTTTTTACATTTTCCAAAAAAACTGTCTTTTGATATGCCTTTTTTATATTTAGGGTTCAGTAAAATTCATATACTTCATAAATGGTTAATTCTATTTAACTGCTTTTAAGTCTATTTTTAAATCCATTTCAGATAACAACCAAAATAAAGATCTCTCTCTGAAAATAAAAGTTAACTATTTCATTTGATCTTTCTACCATTCTAAAATGAAATGAACTGTGGGATAAATGGAAGAGAAAAATCTATAGGTACAAAAAAGAAGAAATGGAGGGAAGTATACAACATTTAAAAGTATAGGGAAGTATTCTCATTTTTACCCAACACTCTTCACCTGAGAAAATAAATTTATACACACAGACATATGCACACCTTTCTCATTTTTACCCAGTTCTCTTGATCCTAAAATATGAATTCACATGCATCACACACACACACCCCTTTAAGTCACAAATCAAAAGGAAGCCACTATCTATACCTACTCATTCTATACCTAATTATTCTACTTCACCTTTAATACCAACTTTTTTTTAACTGAATGAATACAGGTGCAAGCGTGTGAATGCACAAACACACAGTGTACATGTTCTCAGAGACACTTGTAGGACACTATAGCTATTTATGGTTTTTCTCTCTATCACTCAAGCTGTTTTGGGTTCCAGCTTAAAATTGTGCTGTTGCAATAGATTCTTCCTATTGGTCCCAGCTCAGGTAGAGTAGGAACACACCTGAGTAGCAATTTAATTACTGAATTATCTCAGTTACCTTTGGCATATTAATAGATGACCTGGTCCCTTTCCTCTTCTTGGCCCAATATAGTAACCCTAAATATTGTTTATTCTTGCTCTAAATTTTCATTTGAAAATCTTATTCGATTAGTTACCTCAGTAATTAAAGGCCAGAATATTGTAAGAAAATGTTCTACACAGAAACAAACCTTTCTTCCAAACCCTATGTAAAGAAAGTAAATTTAAGTATTTAACTTACTTGTTCTCTTACATAGTTTCTTTCAAAGTCTAATTTTAAACTGGTAAGATATTGCCTGTACTTATTCCATTCCCTCAAAGAACATACAATCTAAAACAAAACAACAAAAAAAGAATATAAATATTTAACAATTATAGACATTACTCTCCAGAGAAAAAACAGAAAAACATACATTTAATAATATAGTTGGTATCAAAAATAACATGTTAACATGTTTTGTTAACAATTTTCAAGCAGTATACCTCTATGATTGCCAGTTATCAGGAAATTTCTATCACAGTATTACTTCTTTATTAATATGGCTTACACCATAATAAGGGATTTAGTATGAACAATTTGGTATTAAAATAAAATACCAATGTAATAATGATGCTTATCCCCAGTAAGAATGTATTCTATCAAGAAGAATATTTTGCTAGGTTTCCATTATGTCTCAAGTTTCTAAAAACTATATGGGGCATAATCCTGATAAGTGTACATTAGAGACAGAGAAAGAGGACTATGTTATAGCTGCAAAAATTATTTATATATCTTTAAATCCTCAAATCATTTGATAATCATCTCTCGATATTATCAAAGAAAAAAGATGTAGTTTAATCTAGAAATAAAAATTGCCTAATTTCCTTGACCCAAATACTGAGTATGTTACGGAAATGCCATTTAAGTATCCTCTCATAACCAACTAAAAGATGATACAGTCCCTTTGGTGAGGTATAGAAGCAAGCTTATATTAAGTCTTGAAGGTTTTCACTGATCAACAAGAAGTAATCTTAAACGCACTTTATTGTTGCTGGTGATGTAGCCACCTTTCTTTAACCTCCTCAGGATATCTTTACGTTTATAGTATGCTCTTAAATGTGGATCATGGAGACTTTTATATTGGTTTTCCAAAAGTCGACAATAAGGATCAGTCAGGTTAAAACCATAAGAAGGTCGAAAAAGCTGCAAAAACAGATTCAAAAATATTAAAAATATACGATTAATGAACGTTGACTTTTAAACATTAACTTACTGAAATGACTAGAATGTTCAATGAAAATAAAACATGCAAGAAGAATTTGAAATGGGGAAAAACTAATAACATAAAGATTTGGGTTGAGCAAACAACTGTCTTTCCATTCCTCTCTTCCCCTATTCTAAAGACCCATCCTCACTCAGTTAGTTCCTCAACTGATCCCCATCAGCCCCTGGCTGGGAACCAGAGAAGAAAAGCAAAGAGAAAAAGAAAGGGAAGAGGATATACTTTGTTTTCACGTATAAAATCAATGCTAGGATTCTCCTTTTCCTCTCCCTCCCCCCAGGTCAAGGCACTGCATCAAAGAATAAAGGGATAATAGTAATTTTGATTATTTTATATCAATCATCTGAAATTGAAGAAACATAATAGGAAATTTCACACTATGATTCACGGAAACAACTTTAACAATAGATTGCGGAAGTAAAATTTAAATGTTAAAGATTGTGGATTGAAGCGTTATTGTATCTTGAAGTCTTAGCAACCCAACAATCTATGAGTACCACACTAAGGAGAAAATTGAAAATCTATATTATACAGTTCAACATACTGAAGAACAAATTATAAAAAATATTTATAGATACTGAGTTTTCTCTATATGTGTAAAGATCAAATACAACCTTATGCAATAGCCATTGACATATAAAAGGAGGAAAAAACCCAGCTAATACTCATGTTTCTATATTTTTTTTTATTTTAGATAAAACAGCTGAGTTATTTAATCTCATTTGTGAATTAAAACTTTACCAAAGTAAGTCTTTTGTGATTTAAGTTCCTAGCCCATTTTTCAACAGCAGGATGATGATAATGGATTATGGAAGAACCCTTGAGAAGGAAAAAGTGGGGGAAAGGAGTAGGTGTGGAAGTTGTCCTAGTGTTGCTTTTGTATCCTTTCTTTTTATTTTCTTTTAAGTTTGCTTGACCAGAAAAATGGAAGTTTAAATCCAAAGTAATGTCATAGCAGGAACTGGCTAGGGTGATACACAGCAGGAATAGGCAGGGGTGTGGGAAACCAGAAAGCACCTGCCGTTTGCAGGCATCTGATTAAATTTAAACTCACACACAACACTGTGCGCCAAACCAGACCTGCTGCAGGTACCATTTTGTGATCTCTGTGTTCAGCCTGGAAACCCTGGTGGCGTAGTGGTTAAGTGCTATAGCTCCTAACCAAAAGGTCGGCAGTTTGAATTCACCAGCCACTCCTTGGAAATCCTATGGGGCAGTTCTACTCTGTTCTATAGGGTCGCTATGAATCAGAATCGACTCAACAGCAATGGGTTGGTTTTTTTTTGGCAAGGTAGATGGAAAATGCTTTTTTTTATGTGGGCAAAGGGGCAGATGGGAGGAGCAAGATAGGATGCTGGCTTTCCTTTTCCATTTAAAAGTTTTAAAAGTTTCCTTGGCAAGTTTCTGACCTCTTGCTTAACACCAGATGCTAATACCTCCTGTCTTAGTTATCTGTGCTGTTGTAATAGAAATATCACAAGTGGATGGCTTTAACAAACAGAAATTTATTCTCTCACTGTTAAGGAGGCTAGAAGTTCAAATTCAGGGCACCAGCTCTAGAAGAAGGCTTTCTCCCTCTGTCAGCTCTTCTTTCTTGGTGGTACTGACGTCCTCTCTCTGCTCCCTTCTCTCTCTTTTCATCTCTTTTAAGATAAAAGATGATGCAGGCCATATCCCAGAGAAACTTCCCTTATGTTAGATCAGAGCTATGACCTGAGAAAGGGTGTAGCATCCCACTCTAATCTTGCCTCATTAACCTACTCCTCATTAACATAACCTAAGCCTGCCTCATTAACACATAGAGGCCAGGACTTACAACATATAATTCCATCAGATCATAAAATGGAGGAATGACTACATCATTACATAACTGCCAAACTACATCATTATGTAACTGCCAAAACACTGAGAATCATGGCCTACCCAAATTGACACATATTTGGCGTGGACACAATTCAATCCATGACACCTCCCAAGGGGTCTAAATCAGGAAGCTGGATTCCCTGATTATCAATGCCTTCCAGGGAAAGTAGAAAGGTATCCCATAGCGCAATGTTTTAATTAAGTGATAGAAATGATCACTGGACCAGATAGAAAACCCTTATCTTTCCTGGAAGGAAAACAATCAACAATCATGAGACAAGGAGTAGATTGTCTCTTTTAGATGCTGACTTTATACTATGACAGGTGTATGTTTCTCAAGATCAAACTTGGGCTATTGACTTGTAGGTAGAGAATACCTTTTAACAAATTCATTCATTATAGCCAGTGTAGCCCTTCCGTTGTCAATCAAAATAATTGGTTTCCCTTAAAGAAAAAAAAAAAACAACTAAAAAAGTAGATATAAAGTATTACTTCATCAGATCATCACCCTGAAAGAGAAAGAAGGATCTCACAAAGTCAGTCTTCAGGAAACTAGTATTGTGCCTTATTACAATTAAATGAATACATTTGTTTGGGGGGAATTAATGTAATAAAGAGTAGAGAGAACATCTGAAAATAGTAGTTCATAAATGAACTAATGTTCGACAGAGAAGAAAAGATGGCATTACAGCAAACAAAATATATTTGAGGAAGAAAGAAAATACAGGAAAGAGTAGTGATATCAGTAGTAATGGAATAGCTTTTAAGCATGTTTTAGGAAAGCTAGTTTGTGTGGGTGTGACTCAGTCAATTTGTGTAAGATTGTTATATCTTTAGTTAGCTTGCTCTACTTTAACACAACAAAACAGATTGGTTTTCAAAAAGAAATTATATTATACCAGCAACAAAACTTTAAGAAATCATGTTTACTAGGCAAGTATTAAATACCAATCTGGTGACATTGTCTACTTATTTCTAATGACATCATAGAAAGTGGAAGGGTAAAGGGGTCACTCAGAATTCTTTCTTTCTTGGAGAACTTTTTGCGATAGCGATCAAAGCAACTAATCAACCCCCCCCACAAAAAAAAAAAAAAATCTGTTGCCAGCGAGTTGATCCCACTTATAGTGACCCTACAGGACAGAGCAGAACTGCCCCACAGGGTTTCCAAGGCTATAATCTTTATGGAAGCAAGCTGCCACGTCTTTTTTCCTGTGGAGTGACTGGTGTTTGAACCACCAACCTTTGGGTTAGCAGCCTAGAACTTTAACCACTGTGCTAGTGGTTAAATGTACTAAACTACTTTCAGCACTGACTAGTTAGCCAAAGGCTGGATAGGCTAGGGGCTGGCAGGGTGAAGACTAAAATCATTAAGAACTTAAGTACACACTGCAACCCAGTATGATTAAGTGTTGAATGAGATCTTACAAACTAAGGGCAATGGGAATTCTAAGGAAAGACAAATTAACTGGGGTCTGTAATAGTTTAGAAAGGATCTTGAAAAACTTCAAATTCACAGAATGGAGAGAAAAGAAAGACTATGCCAGGTTTGGGGAGCCAGGGGACAAAGGCACAGAAGAATTAACATGGTATATATGGTTAGGTATAAAAGACCCCAATCTGAAGAAGCTGAGGCTCTGGGGTGGAGAAAAGAATGGGTGAAGAGGCTGGAGCAAATTTTAGAGGCTCCTCGAAGGGGCAGAAAGGGAGGTTAAGGTACTAAACAAATTAACTCATTTTAACTCCACTTTTTTTTTTTTTTTTTAGCTTTATGTGTGAAATAGAATTTGGCTCAAAACCAATTTATATAGAAGTGTTTTGTAATAAGAGTTATTATGGGTTGAAATCATAACATAATTTAAATGCCAGCCACCACTGATAACTTGTCATCTTTCAATCAAACGTGTTCCAAGCAAAAGTTCACTAAATGAGTATATATCAAGTTTTATTATAAAGCAACCTTAAAACAGTTTCCTTAAGTTATAAATTAAAAGACAGGATCAAAAATCTATACTTTCTGCCCCATAATTCTGCCCATACCATACTACATGGAATTGTATGATACCTACCCTGAACAGCACCTTAGGTTTAGTGTGACTTTAATTTTTTCCTGTAAATGTTCAATGCAAATTCCATTAATGGACTTTCCCGACGTAGCCTCTGAATTTAACAGCAATTAGAAATAAGCAACGAAAATCAGTGAAAACCAATTAAAAATTCGTTTACCTTTTCACTTAAACTCGTAGTATAGAATACAGTGTTGCTTCCTGGGATCACCGGCAGTTTGACCCCAAGAGGTAGATCCAGTAGTTCAGCAGCTCCAATCCCTGGAAAGTGGGTTCTGTGTGCGCCCTGTCAGATACAGTTGGAGAGTTTTTGTCTTGTTAGGAATTACTCATTTACTTTAGGTCAGTTCAACGGGCCGATACGTCCAAGTAAAGTAAACCTAAGAATCATATACTCAGGATTGAAGGGACACCCCACTGGACACCCGTGAAGACCTCTCGCTTCGTAGGTCACCACCAACTCGCCTCTGGACCGGCCAGAACCAGCTGCGACCAGCTCAGCCCGAGCCACAGGCGACACCACACGAGGGCGCCGGAGCCGGACGGTTAAGCGCCGCTCCTTCCTCTACCGCAGTCCCCTCCCCTCCCGCCTTGCAAACCAGACCCTGCGGCCTTGCGGAGGACGACGAGGCCAAGTCAGCGGCCACTCACGTCTCCGCACTGCTGGCTGTCCGTAGCCAGGCTGCTGGTGGCCGTCTTGGTGGCGGCGGCGTCGGCAGCCTTGGAGCAGGCGCTGAGGTACAGCTCCATGGCCGGCCCAGGTCTCCCGACCTCCTGCCCCTACTTCTCTCGCCTTCCCTCGCACCCCTTCCTTGTCCCTCAGTCCTGTCCGGACCGAGAATGACCAGTGCCGGTGTCCCCGAGGCCCCACCTTCTCGCGTTCCAGATTCGGAACAGTGGGGGCCCCAGAAAGGGTGGCCGCTCGCGCTCCCGCCTACGCCGTGCCCTTAACTATAGAGCTTGAGCGCTTCCGCGTTGGGGAAATCTATCCTAAGGGCCTAGCCTGAGAGGGCCACAGTCCAAACTTAATTTCTCTGTGAAACCATCGCCCGTCATTTAAACCGAATGTATAAAGCTTTGTCGGTTGGTAGCAGCCTAATTCCTCTGGCCCCCTGGGGAACTATAGTTCAGTTCAACAAACATCCATTCTAGGGCCAGAGGTCTTGCTTACTACTTACCTCTCCCTGTTATTCACACTGTGACCACCTCCCTCCCAGGCTTCCCATAACAGCTTGTCAAGCCATTCCCACATAGCATAGATTGACTACTTCTCGGCTCATTGCCTTCCTCTTGCCTCCCTTTTCTAGTCTTTCCTTTCTTGCTCACTTTTCTCTCTCCTCCTGCCTCCTCATCTCTGCCTCCCCTTCTTTCTCCCATTTCCCTCTTTTTCTTCTTCAGCATTGATAAAGTGTCTGCCTCCTCTGGACCAGTCATTGTGCTAGGCACCTGAGGATATGGCAGTGAATAAAACATGGCTGCTGCCTAGGGGGAGCTAATTAGACTGAGAACTTTGAAGAGAGACTAACTTGTCAGTAGTTTGAACTTAGCCTCATAGATTCTGTGGCCCACTGCTCTTCTCTGTTATGTCTAGACCATTTAGTAATATTTACCATTTACTGAGAATTTACTAACTCCAGGTGCTGTGCTAAACACCCACCTCAATTAATCCTTATAACATCCTTGTCTATAATTCTTTGTTTTCAAAGATCGAGGAAGAATGCCAGTCACTGTTAGGTGATGGTCCCAGAGCCTGTGTTCTTGGCCAATGCACTCTAACATCTGCTGTAGAGTTGGATAGGAGGGGATAGATTAATTGCATCAAGATTTAGGGATTAACTGAATGAAAGGGTGAGGGGAAAATGATTTATCTAGAAGCATTCCTCAGTTTTTGGTTTAGATAGTTCATGGTATTGTCACTGAGATGGGAAATGTAAGAAGAATGAGGCCTTTGTTTCTTTTGCCCTGTGTTGGTGAAGGAATGTGTGTGTAGAGATTTAAGTACACTGAATTTGAAATGATTGTGGGACACCCATGTTTGTTTTAATACTACACATATGCTTTGTTGTTGTTGTTGTTAGGTGCCTGCTCTCAAGTTGGCTCCTACTCATAGTGACCCTGTGTATAACAGAACAAAACATTGCCCAGTCCTGTGCCATCCTACAGTCATTGCTATGTTTGAGCCCATGGTTGCCGCCACTGTGTCAATCCATCTCACTGAGTGTCTTTCTTTTCTTTTTGTCTGCCCATCGACTTTACCAAGCATGATGTCCTTCTCCAGGGATTGTTGTTGTTGTGTGCCATCGAGTCAATTCCAACTTATATGACCCTGTAGGACAGAGCAAAACTGCCCCATAGGGTTTCCTAGCTTGAAATCTTTACAGGAGGAAATCACAAGGTCTTTTCTCCATTAGAGCAGCTGGTGGGTTCCAACCCAACCTTATGGTTAGCAGCCGAGTGCTTAGCCATTGCACAACCAAACTTCTAAGTTCAAAACTCTAGCCTTGGGATATAGTCTATTGGTAGTTTTCCACGTGGATGTCCCACAGTATTTCAAATTCAGTATACTTAAATCTCAACACACACATCCCTTTGCCAAAACAGGGCAAAACAAAGGCCTCATTCTTCTTCCTGCATTTCCTGTCTTAGTGACAATACCATGAACTACCTAAGGCAGAAACTGGGGAGTGCTTCTAGATACATCATTTTCTTCTCACTTCTTCATTCAGTTAATCCCTCAATCTTGATGAAATTAATCTATCCTCTCCTATCCAACTCTACATTACTCTCCCAATTAAGCCACTCATCATTTCTTCCTTGTACCATTGCCACAGCCTTATAAAATCTTTCTGCTACCACCTACCCCAATAATCCATCTTTTAGTTTGCTATCAAAGATCTTTGATGGCAAACTGACCATTTTTCTTCCCTGTGTTAAACCTCAAACTTCTCTCAGGAATTCTTCACACAAAGCATGTAACAGCCTCTGTGACTTGGTCCCTGTATTAGTTTCCTGTTGCCCTGTAGCAAATCAACCACAAACTTAGTGGCTTAAAACAACACAGATTTATTACCTGACAGTTCTGTAAGTCAGAAGTCCAAACTGAGTCTCACTGGGCTGAAATCAAGGTGTTAGCAGGCTGTAGGAAACTAATACATGAAGACTGGGAGACTTCATGATGTGATCATTAAGGTTGTATGTCAGCTTGACTGGGCCATGATTCTCAGTGGTTTGGCAGTTATGACATAGTTTGGCAGTTGTCAAATGATGCAATCACTTCCATGATGAGATCGGCTATAAGCAGCCAGTCAGTTGAAAGGGAGTTTCCTTGGAGGTGTGGCCTGCATCCAATATATGTGGACTTTCTGGTAAAGCTGTCTGGCTTTTGTTTTGCTCTGGATCCTGCATTCGGCTCATCATCATCTGACCTCTAATTCTTGGGACTTGGGCCAGCAGCCTGCTGTCTTACCTGCCGATCTGGGATTTTTCAGCCTTCACAGCCCATGGGCCAACAACATTCCTTCAGATCTGTGGATCTTGAGTTCATCAGCCCCTGCAGCTACATGAGTCAAGAGAAACCTCCAGCCTGATGCCTGACCCATGAACTTGGGACTTGCCAGCCTCCACAACTGCATAAGACAATTGCTTGGGATAAATCTCTCTATCTCTCTCTATTATATATGTGTGTGTACATATATATGTGTATGTGTGTATATATATATACATATATATGTATATATATATACTTCTCTGGTTTTGATTCTCTAGAGAACCCAGCCTAAGACACATGTAATCATGTATACAAGAATCTGTTAAGTTCTGAAACAATGAGACAGTGGTAATAGGGATGTGGATGGGAGGGAAGAATGGATCTGAGAGACATTTAAGAGACAACATTAAGAAAATTTAGGTCCAGGGAGGTGGGGCCAAGATGGCAGAGTAGTCAGACACTTCCTGTGGTCCCTCTTACAACAAAGACCCCAAAAAACAAGTGAATTGATTATGTATGAAAATCTAGGAGCCCTAAACATCAAAGACAAATTTGGGAAGTCAGACTGACTGGCAGGGAGAGGGAGAGAGAGTTCAGAAGCAGTGAGGATTTGCCAGACCTGACCTGGCCAGCACCGTGCAGGCTGGATCAGCCAGCACATGCAGGACGAGGCAAGCAGTAGTGCTTGGGTTGTGTTTTCCACATTGGGAGATACTGAGCAGCAGAGAGTCTGCACAAGCCTCTGGAATCAACGGGAAGTGGCGCTGGATCTGCAAAAGTTAAGTGCAAGAATCTAACCTACAGTGCAGGATCAAAATAACCCTTCCCACTCTGGGAAGTACCTTTTTCCTCTGCTCCAATTCTGGTCCAGCCTCAGTGATTGCCGTGCCCCCTGGGCCGGAAGTGGGACCCATCACGCACTCTGAGCCATTCTCCCAGCTTTGGAGAGGGAACTAATTAACAAAGAAATAACAAACAGGAAAAAATAATCTGCCAGCTCCCCTGAACTGGGACCTCAGAGCAGGCACAGCCCCTTTACCTAGGCATAAGCATAAGGGGTCCATGGACTTTGAATGCCTTTCACCCCTGCCTAGACCTATGTGGGCCCATGTCAACAGCATAGGTTGTCATGAGCGTAGTACAACAGGGTATATACTGGAAGCCTATTTGCAACTGCAACAGCTAAGGGGGAATGGCAGATTCGTGACATTTGACACTGCCTTGCCCATTAAACAGGGTCCTCATCTACCCACATCAGGGGCCTGAGGACTGGTGGCTCACCCACTACACCTAGCCACCTATGACAGGGGTCCGAGAATAAGTGGCGCCCCCCAATCCTTACAGCCAACAGTATTGGGTGCCCAAAGTCTGGTTGCAAAACTCACTCACCTACACATTCTAGGGAACAGGGACATGCCTTCCACCCAGGCACTCAGGAACAGCCATCAGTCCCCTACCTTGCCCAACACATAAGCGTCTACTGCAGCCAGATACCTGTGCCTGCTCCAATTACACCTACATAGCCCTGCCTGTCTAGGACTGTAGGTGAGACCCTGTACCGCATACTTGGTCACCGACAACCTGGACACCTGAGCTGAATCCACACAAGAAAAGTAAATGGACTCCTGGGCTCACGTACCTAGTAGCAGCTCTAACCACCTGATGACAGGACATAAGAGCTTCAAAAATGCCAATTATCAAAGTAGCTCACGTGACCAGCCTATTAGGGCATATCAAAACAAAACAACAAAAACTAGGACAGAGTAAGCAAACATAAAATAAATATAATAATTTATGGATGGCTTGGCAACAACAGTCAATATCAAATCATATAAAGAGGCAGACCATGATGGCTTCAGCAAATGACCAAAACAAAGAACAGAAAACCTCCCAGAGGAGGAGAAGTTCTTGGAATTACTGGAGGACAATTCAAAAGATTAATATACAGAGCTCTTCAAGAGATCAGGAAAGACCTCAGTCAGAACACAGACAAAGCGAAGGAACACAGAAACAAAGCAATAGAAGAACTTAAGAAGGTTATACAAGAGCAAAATGACCAATTTAACAGGCTGCAAGAATCCATAGAGAGACAGCAAATAGAAATCCAAAAGATTAACAATAAAATTTTAGACAATTCAATAGAAAGTCATAGGAGCAGAATTGAGGCAGTGGAGGTCAGAATTAGTGAGATTGTAGATAAAGCACTTGACATGAATTTATTTGAGGAAAAAGAAGATGAAAGTATTTTAAAAAATGAAGAAAC